TCGAGGAGGAAGGCCGTCACCTGGGCGTCTGTGGGGACAGTGCCGGCGCGGAAGGCCGGGATGCGGTAGTAGCCGTCCTCGTTGGCCGTGTTGCCGAGGAGCACCGGCAGACGGGCAAAGGCGCCGGCCGCCGTCAGCGACACGTAGTCCTCAAAGACAAGAGTGCCGTCGGGCGTCGGGTAAAAGGGCGGGATCGAGCGGAGCACACTGCTGCTGGCGGTCGGGCGCACGGCGGCGGCAGCGGGGCGGATGGCCTGCCAGTCGGCAGCGCGCATGCAGGCGAGAACATTGGCGGCCGAGCTGCAACCCACAGCGCTGACGACCGTCTCCCAGTTGCGCTGCGGAACGCCGGGCGCGTTGACGGGGAAGCTGAAGGCGTTGCCTGAAGGCGCGATGATGCCGTTGGCGATGGGGTCGCGGCGGTAGGCGTATGTCCAGTAGTCGACAGCCACGCCGCCTGAGGACTGGCCGGTAATGGTGATCTTGGTGGGATCGCCACCGAAGCGCTTGATGTTGTCACGGATCCATTCGACGGCTGCCCGCTGGTCGCGGAGGCCGAGGTTCTGCGGCTGGCCGGGGATGCCGGGGAAGCCAAAGATGTTCAGGCGGTAGTTGACCGTCACGACAATGACGTCCTCGGCCTCAGCAAAGTACTTGCCCGTGTAGAAGGGGCTGTTGGTGTTGCCAATGGCGAACCCTAGGATTTGTCAGACATGAGGGGCTACCAACAGGATGGAGGGAGAATAAGAAGGGTAGGTTACGTACGTCCACCGTAGAAGAAGACGACGACGGGCTTTGCTGCCCTCGTCGACCGTGCCGTGGGTTTCGCCCAGACATTGAGCGTCAGACAGTCCTCGCTCTGCGGCGTGCCCGCACCAGAGGCGAAAAAGGAGACGATGCGACGAGCCTGCGGCGTGAAGCCGGGAAAGTCTGGCGTCGGCGACGCGGACAACGGGCAGTCGAAGCCAAAGTTGGCAGCCTCATACGCCTTGCGAGCGCTGATTTTCTGGGGCGGCGCAAACCTCAGGTCCCCCACGGGAGGCTTCGCATAGGGCACGCCCAGGTACTCAACGACACACGAAGCATTGGGGGCGAGGTGGCCAGTAACAGGTCCGTTTGTCGTTGCTACTGTCAGGTAGCCGTGAGGGTTACAAGCAGTGCCGGCGACCGAGCTGACCCAGAAGGCCAGCGCCACGCTGAGGGCCTGTGCCGGGGAAAATGAAACCATAATAGACAAGATGTGGGCTGTGAACTGGGTACTTTGGCCGTCTCACTCAACCTGGCCTTGTCTAGGCGGTGGAGGGGTGTTGACAGAGGGAAGACGCGCAACGGGTATCCTGCTCTGGCAAGTCAACTCCGTGTGCGTCGTGCGCTTCGGCCATGTATTTAATATCTGGCTTGATTGGTGGGGCGCCGTTTTTGCAAATCACAACAACCTTGTTCTTCGCATGCGAAGTGTTGGTGATTCTTACTGGACGTACTCTGCTGTTGGAGGGGAATGGCGTGGTTGTGTCGCCCCCCGGCCGGTGGAAATTGCATCGAAAGAGGCAAAACGTCCTTGATGACGGGGCTTAGGACTGGGCCCGTGGCATCATGTAAGCGTATATCCTTGAAAGCCACATTGAAGATCACTGCTTACAGGTAGAGATCACTGCTTACAGACAGGTAGCACAGTAGACATTCTGCTCTGCAAGCTGGCACATGGCGTTGACTCTAGGCCTTGCCGAGACAGACTCTTTTCAATACGCTAACCCGGCAGAGACACGACGCCTTCTTGTTCAGGTATAAGTTGGAAGCCAGTATCGTAAGACCAAGGCCCATGCTGTATGTGGCGAAGCATGCCAAGCACCACCTTTTCTGCCATTGAGCACCCTAGAAGCATTTTTCGGGCCTGTCAATGCTGGATGGGACACGGATCAAGTTCCACACAACAAGCTTCCGCCCCCAACCCAAGCATCGATCAATGCTAACCCCCCACCTGTGTCGTCCCCTCGTTTGGTATGCATCCTTCACTTTCTCATCATCGAGCCGAGGGACCTGACGGAATTAAAAAAGGCCAAAAGCGAGATTGTGCCTGCAGAATCAGAGAGCACCGCCCGATCCAGGGACAGGGGCTCGAGGCAACGCGCGAGTCGCGGCAGGATATCCCCCCACGGCCCCATGGGCTTGATAGGCTTCGCTTCCGTCAATTCGGTAGATCTTCACCCAAAACTTCCATGCAAGGCCCCAAGGTTCAAGCCACTTCTTCAACCGGTGCTCTCTACCCCGGCCTCTTGGTACGAGTGGAGGAGGGTCGGGTAGCAATGGCACGACGAAGTAGGACGTGTCGCCCGTACGAGCTCAATGCCAAGAAGGTAGAGCAAGACTCGTCAAAAACGAACGCCATGTGCCTTTGCTGCCTAAAAGTTTATTAAGTTCAGTCACCAGTGAGTCCCGAGGAGTCGGCACTGGAGGACCCTGCAGAACGTGGACCGATTTCGATAGTCATCACGTCGAGTCAGGGGCGGTTCGTCCCATTGTCTAAGATCACCAGCTCAATCCTACACACGTGTTGGTGTGGTAGCCCTGTAGCACAGCAATTGCAGATCTGCTCCCGAGAGAGATGCGGATGTTCACCTCAGGTCGAAACATGTGCCACCGCCACAGGAGTCGACCAGACATCAGCTGGTGTGGTATCCTTCTGACACCTCTAGCCTGCCGCTGTCGGCAAGTCGAAGCCCGCGCCCCGGATGACCCGGGCGCATCAGAAAGCCGCCACAGCGGGATTTGAGGATGTTTCTGCCGCTCGGGAGATACCCCAAACGGTCTTTAGCTTCGCTCTCTAGCGTGACATTCAGACAGACCTCCGAAGCCCCTGCAATGATTCTACCATCTGGAAGGGCCAAGAAAGCAAGGGCTGCGACAGCGTCGGGGGAAATGCAGGAATTGCTGCTGCAGGGCAAAAGTGTACATAGGGGCGTTGCTGATGAGGGGGGGACATGAGGCTGTTCTTGCTGACCAAAATCATAAGATATATACCATGGTTCCACACCAACTGCCGTTGAGTTCATCCGACTCAGACCGTCGTTCCTTTTACCGCCTGTTAATTGTTGGTGCGCGTCTGCGACGTGAAAGCCGTCTCGCTAATCTCTAAGTCTTCGTCTTGCTCCTACGTTACCTCAAACATTTTGCTTGGTCTGAGCTTACCTTCGCCATGGGGCCCTACGGTATGGGATTCCCCGACGACGGCCTCCCTAACCAGGGCTGGAAGCTGTACATCACATCACTGGTCATGGTCATATCGGCTGGCCTGTTCGTGATCGCCCGATGCACAACGCGCTACTACTTTTTCAAACTGGGATGGGACGATCTTGCAGTTGTCGTGTCCTTGGTCAGTACAGCCACCAACATGACTATCGTGTTCCCGCCGAAGAGCCTCTATTGACTTTTGACCACGTAGGCCTCGTCCATCGTTGTCTCCGTCGCCATGCAGCTTGCCATTGAAAACGGCTACGGCATGCATAAGCTCGACCTGCCCAAACCCCAGCTGCGCTACGCCCTGAAACTCTTCTTCATCGCCCAGACGCCCTACAAGGTGACCGTCTGCCTCAACAAGGTTGCCGCGATCCTGCTCTATCTGCGTATCTTCGTCACGCAGAGCTTTCGGATCGCAGCCTTTGTCGTCATGGGCATCGTTGTCGCCTGGAGCATCGGCGGCGTTGGCGCCACCATCTGGCAATGCGTCCCCATAGCGGGCGCCTGGAACAAGGCCATCGGGGCGAAGTGCATCGACTCGAACAAGTTCTGGATCGCATACGCCGTCATGAATATCCTGACCGACGTCATGGTGCTCGCTCTGCCCATCCCATCCATCCTGGCTCTGCAGCTTGGCAAGCGCGACAAGCTGTTGTTGTGCGGCATCTTCATGCTGGGAGGCTTGTAAGTCATTGCTGCTCCTTCAAACCAGACGAGTTTCTCTATGGGTCCCCAAGCCTTGCTGACAGTGTCTTAGTGTTACCGTCACCTCGATCCTCCGGACAACTTCCGTGCAGAATTCGCTGAAGAACAAAGAGGACATTACATGGAACTTTATCGAGCGCGGCATGTGGACCCTCGTCGAGGCGAATCTCGGCATCATCAGCGCCTGTCTGCCTGTCCTCAAGCAGCCGTTGGCCAAGCTCTTCCCCCGCGTATTCGGTTCGACCCGCAAGAACACATACTACATGGCCGACGCGCCAAGCGGCCAGAAGGGTTACAACCTCTCCAATGTCAGCCGCCAGGATCAAAATCCCGGATTCTGGCGCGCCGGTGTGCGAAATCAGCAGCAAGTGTCCATTAGCGCGGGCAAGGAAACTTTGGATGGAAGGACGAGTGACGAGCAGTGCATTGTGCATGGGTCGCTGGGCGGCAGTGATAGTGATCTGGATGTCAAGGTCAAGTGCCAGGAGGGAGGCGTACTGAAGAGGGTGGAAATGGTGAGGACTTCGTATCACGAGGACCCTCGCATGGCATGACGGTCATTGAAATATTACAGCATTGGATGAAGAGCTGTCGTGAGACTGAATGATTTCGAAAGCTTATACCTCGAACAGGTGATGATACCCACTGCAGTTGATACGCTGAAAATGTGATCAATTGTGCTTGGCCCATCAAGTCCCGCTGGACAAGTGCCGGCTGCATTCCAGGGGGGTGGTTTCCTTGCTTGGCTCACGTCAGAAAGAGCCCTACAGGAATGTGCCATGTCGGATCAACCTCCGTTGTTCAGGAGAGGGTCATCTGATAATGAATTCTCGGTCAATAGGTCACTTGGTGCGTTCTCGAGTCGTCAGGAAGAGTCTAGGCTGCCGGGTTTTCGGCCTCTCTTCTGGAGGCTTAAAGCCCTTTTATAAGGAGGTAGTGTGTTTGTGGTGAAGGAGTCCGTGGCCTTACATGCTATACCTTGCGGCCGAATTGCCAGCTCAACTTTGTTGCTGTCTACATTTGTTGAGCACTTCAACATGGGACTTTTCCACGTTCCGTTAATGGTAGCGCTCGCTTTTGAGGTTGCGTCAGCATCGAATATCACCTGTGAATCTCTGGTCGCCCCCCATGTCGAAAATGCCACGGTGGTCGAATTCAACACACGCACCATTCGGAGCAACATTTCAGAGGTCTGCGAGGTCAACGTCTTCCTAACACACCTTGGCGCCGACGATCGAGTCAGGATCCAGCACTACCTACCGCTGAAGGGCTGGACAGGCCGTTATCAAGGCAACGGAGGCAGCGGTCTGATAGCAGGGCAATTCGACAACGAGATTGCCATGGCTGCGGCGAGGGGTTCCGTGAGCGGTGCGACTGATGCCGGCCTTCCTGCCAATGCATCCGACGGATCTCTCTGGGCGGATAATGAGCAACTCATCCGGAACTTTGCCTTCTTATCCGTTCACGAGATGACGCTCGTTGGAAAAGCTTTGGCCGAACAATTCTACAGCACGCCTGTGAGGCGCGCGTATTGGAGCGGTTGTTCTACCGGCGGCAGGCAGGGCTACATGGAAGCACAGCGATATCCGAATGACTACGACGGCATTCTTGCTAGTGCACCAGCGATCAACTATGCGAGTCTCCGCATTGCGCAGCTATACCCGTTCTTCGTCCAAGCAGCTGCTGGGGAGTTTGCGCCGCCTTGCGTGTGGGAAAGTTTCGGGAATGCTTCGATCAAAGCTTGCGATAGACTTGACGGTGCTGACGATGGAGTCCTTAGCGACCCAAGCGAGTGCCTGTATATTTTTGATCCGGAGAGCCTTGTCGGAGAGCAAATTGACTGTACAGGCAACTCCAGTCCCACCAAGATAACCGAGAAACACGTCGCCATGTGGCGCAACATAACGACTGGACCAGTCTTCCCAAATGGCACCAGGGCATTTCATGGCATCGCACCGGGCACCAGCTTTAGGACGTTGGCACAGACTTCACCAGCGTCCATCAGCAGTACCTGGGTGCGCGACTTCATTATGCGTAACAGCTCCTTCGACCTAAGGACTATTGCACCGAGCGATGCACACGCGCTGCTGGCTCTGTCGAATGACCTGTTTCAAGACATCATTGGAACGGACGACCCAGACCTGAGTGGCTTTCGCGACGCTGGAGGCAAGTTGTTGTCATGGCACGGATGGAGCGATGAGTCCATCTTTGCCAATGGGACCATCGACTACAGACTACGGGTTGAGGACAGAATGGGTGGCGCAGGAGCCGTAGACGACTTCTTTCGGCTGTTCATGGCTCCAGGTGTAGAGCACTGTGATGGAGGAAGCGGCGCGGTCCCTAGCGAAGAAATGGCCCAGTTGATCGATTGGGTCGAACACGGCAAGGCACCGGAGATGTTGATTGCCAAGGGGAGCAATGGTCAAGGTCGGAATCTGTGCCTCTTTCCGAAGAACATAAAGTTCACTGGGAACGGAGACATCGATGATGCCGAGAATTGGAGTTGTGAATGAAGCTGAGAGCCCAGAAGACCCCAGGATCGTTTGACAGACAAAGCGTAAATTTAGATGCCGATATCATTTGATGACCGTACTGCGGGAGTAGCCGGACAAGACGGGGTCCAGTTCCCGGTTCCGAAGGATTGACCAAGCGGGCCGTGCGGGGACTGCTAATGAATGCCCGAAGTGGAAATCCGGTCGTCCGCGATCATAGCTGCTTAGTGCCTATACAAGCTATCTAAACCTGCAGAAGCCCTTTGTCGAAGTTCAAGCCGAGGAGCAGTATAACGCAGGACACGGTCTGTTTAACTTTCTAACACTAGCCAGCGCCGAGATGGACATGAGCTGCTGTTGAATGATATGTACCAATTTAGCTCATACTTTACTGCAGCCGGAGGTCACGATCGCTAGGATTATCTGGGGCACTAGTCGGCTTTGCCGTGACAGCTAGAACCTACGCCGAGACTCCAAGTTTGTCGGACAGGCGGCAATTCGGACGTAGCAGACCAAAAGAGCTCTGATATTTGATCCTTCTGCTCTAAATGCGGACATGGTGATATCATTTGATGGCTGCAAAGTGTTTGAAAGTGAAGCTCGAGTTTAGTAAGTCCTATGTTTAGTCCCTGTGCCCACAGTCCTCGCTAACCACGGGTCTTGATACGTCTCGCATTGAAAGGTGCGGAATCTACCAAGAGGCGAAGGATAGTTAGGAAGCTTGGCCAACGTTCAATGAGAAATAGAGTGGCATAGGGCTTCATGGAAGCTTGGCTCCCCATAGAAGCATGCCCACGGGCTGACCCTGTCCAACGGGTAGAGGTAAATGACGTGCGAAGTTGACAACGCGAACGGCAATTTTCCCAGGCCCAAGACAAAAGAAAATACAGTCTTACGCATAAGGCAGAAGGCATCAAAATGTGGGTCAAAAGCATGAGAAGGAAGCTGGGCAGACGTCTCTCGTGCTTGGCTTGACTGTTTTGGCTGCAGATCTCGGTCCATCCGTGAGAGCCAAGAGTTCCTGCACCAAATCTAGGCAGACCACACGTGATAACAGGTAACGACAGTTCAAATTCGTTGTTGACTGTGCAAATAGTGGCAGAAAGATTAACGGTCGGCCTTTAAAGGAGATCATGATCGTGTATAAATAGGGTTGCCAGCGCCGACCAGTTCTCCATCATCTTCATTCTACATCTCATCTCATCACACAATATTCCATCCCAGAGCCTGATTCATACATTAGAAGACGTCCAAACTCGATAGACAAGCAAACCTCAAACTTCAAGATACACTTCAAAATGGTTACCCTCACTCACGCCCTTGCAACCTTCGCCACGGTGGCCACTGCCTATGCTCTCCCCTCTAAGTAAGACGCCTCACCGGGTATTTATTTCGATATTCACTTACCAATACAAAACTTCAGGGCCATTACGTCGCGCCAAAGCCACCCAGTTGACTTCGTTGCCGCCTGTGAAGGCTACCGCCCGGCCCCCGATGAGTGGGGTGTCGTCGCAGCGGGCGGTGTCACCGTGGAATGGTCTGGTAGCAACCTTGGGAACGGCGCTTCCGACCGGATGGTCATCATGTTCGACTCCAACTGCAACATGATCGGAAGCGATGAGTGGGTTCCTCGCAGCCCCGGCTTCTCGAAGCTTTTCCACATCACGGCTGGCAAGTACGAAGGTGACGAGGTTGAGTTTAAGAACGGATGGATCGGCATTCACAACGTCGGAGAGACTTCCGTCTACTGGAACGGCGAGCGGATCGACTCTTGGTGTGATGACAACCGCACCGGTATGGATGGCCTCAATGCTGGCTACTGGAGGACCTGCAACTTCAGGACCCCTTGAAGGAGCATTCCACGATTGTCAAAGCACTTGAAGGAGAATTTGGGTTCGGGAAATTGGAAGACATGCAATAAGGGCTTCTGACTACAACGTCGGGTCGACAACAGAATCATTTGGACATATCAGGCCTGTACTTATAGCTACGCTCGTTCAACTTGGAAATTTGTATCTGACCATAGTTGTCACTGGAAAGTCCCATGAGATTACATTTCCAAGTTGTTTTCCTAGTGACGCAGGAATTTAGGAATGTTTTACTGTTTTGTTTGCTGGGAACGGTGGAATCATAACATCAACATAGTATGATGGAACTCAGTCCATGGCCTTGGACAGTGATCGGCGCTTCCGATTGTGCCAAGTTTGGTTAGATTTCTGCAGTCATCAAGGAAGCTTCGAGCGGATGGCAACGATTCAGGGCAGTACCTTAGAGACAGTAATTCACATGACCTGAACCACACCATCCGGCAACTGTGCCATTCACTGGCCGGCCGCCTCGCCACCAGGCAACCGCGTTCTGAAGCCTATAGGCCCCAGTAACAACCTCTTTCCCGACAAGGACCCCTACAGCGTGACGCATGGTGTAGTGGTCCTAGAGGTCAACCTAAATAAGTACCCGAGAATCGCATGCCTCTAGTTGCGAGGGCGCGCAGGCCAGAAAGCGCGTGGAGGGGTTGTTGGATCGAAGCCGGCACTCGGCAAAGGAGAAATCCTTGTGATTTCTTTTTTTTCCTTGCAAATACCACATCCTTGATCTAATTACTGGCCGAAATTCTTGACAGACTCCGATCTTGTAAGCTGGCTGCACTGAGTTGAGAAAGCTCAACTGTGCTTGGTAGATCTTGACGTATGAATGCACCTACGACCTTCTGACTACTTGATTCAACGCACTTGCAAACCGATTAACATTGGCACCGTTCAGGCCTGCAATGGAGATTCGAGACGTGTCCGCCATGTACACATGGAATTCGTCTGGCACAGGTCAGTCCAGTTTCAACGGCATGCAGGACATGTAGACCATGCTGAAATCTCACCTTCAAGAAGCTGCACTTGAGCTCGGCTGATGCCAGTGTATCCAAACATGCCACTCTGCTTGACCAAATGGGACCAGTCACCAGGCGTCTGGAGCCTCACCAGCTCATCGAAAAGCGCCTGCCGCATCGACCGTATCCTGCCAGACATGGTGACAAGGTCTTTGGCCCACTGTTCTCTGATCTCCGGCGTCTCGAGCACCGTCGCGGCGATCCTCGCGCCGTAGACTGGCGGATTGGACACCGTTGCGCGCTGGACATTCTCGAGAATCGACGCCACGGCACGCGCCACCTCCGAGTCACGCAACACGAACGAAACGAGACCGACACGCTCGCCGTAGAGACCCATGTTCTTCGCAAAGGAGAGGCAGACGGCAGCCTCGAGGCCCAGGTCCTCGACGAAGTACCGAATCGCCCACGCGTCCCTGTCGACGGAGCCAGAGTTGAAGCCGAGGTACGCGGCATCGAACACGGGGAAGACGCCGCGCTCGATGAGCACGTCGGCAATCGCCTTCCACTGCTCGGCTGACGGGTCGCAGCCCGTGGGGTTGTGGGCGCAGGCGTGCAGGATGACGGCCGAGGACGGCTCGGCGGCTTTCAGGGCGGCGATGTAGGCGTCAAAGTCGAAAGCGCCGTCCTTGTAGTAGGGTAGTTTTTTGACCTGGAAGCCCTGGGAGGCAAACAGCAGGTCGTGGTTGGACCAGGTCGGCTCGGTGATGTAGATGTTTTTGATGCCACTGCTGCGCTTGAGGGCGAGGCCTGCCAAGAGAAGGGCACCGGTGCCGGAAAGGGCCTGGCAGGAGGCGATCTGCGGGATCCGGTGAGTGGGAGGTCAAATGTGTTGGGTCGTGTATGGCTGCTCACGCGGTCTTCATTGAAGGCTTTTGTACCCGAGAAGACGAGCTTTGTCGCCTCGTCTCGGAGGGATTTCAGGCCGGCGATGGGCAGGTATTCATGACCGACATTGCCGATTTTCTCCTTTGCCAACTTGACTGATGGAAGAATCCATGGCTGGCCGTTCTCGTCACGGTATGTACCTTGGCCAAGATTGATCTTGTTGGCGTCTGTGTCAGCGAGATATCGCCTCGTTACGTCGAATATGGCGTCGGGGGGAATATATTCGGCGGCCTGGAAGGCCGATTGCCGCGCCGCAGTCATTTCGAGACGTGTTTAGAGGCTTCGCTTGCAAAGAGTGTAGGATGGTGGCACACAGGAGCAAGCAATTGTGACGCAGCGAGGCTCATGTGGATGAGACGCCCCTACATCGCGATCAGTCGGACATCAGTTTGTGACCCTTCGCCTCGGATGTGGAGGGGTCGTTCGGAACAAGACCCGAAGTTGGGAGGGGTCCTTCGGCAGCGATCCCGACACTATCATTGTCGGACCCGCGTCTGCCCCGCAGACCCCGTCTAAGGCTTTATGGTCACCGGCATTGCGCCAATCGCCGTGTATCTGATTGTGTAATGGTGCGGCCATGGCGAGAGTATCGGAGGAGCAGCTGGTCTGGCGGGGGCGGTGGACGAGCTGTCAGACTAGTAGGTTGCTTGCGTCGGATGAGACAGGTCACGTCGTTCATAAAGAGGCGTCTCCCATGATGCTCCAGTGACGACTAACAGCTCAACATTACAAGACTCACTCATTGCATCAGACAGCATCCTTTCAGTAACATACTCGTCGCATTCATCCCTTTCTATCTCGCTGACAGTCTCCCGCCCTCGTTCTTCCAACCAGAGAGCCACCATGGCGCAAACCTTTATCCCCCCGCCGTTCGGCATCTACACACCAGCCGTCACCTTCTTCGCAGAAGACGAATCGATCGACTTTGGCGCGACAAAACAGCACCTCTCCCGCCTCCTCGACGCGGGCGTGACAGGCCTCGTGATCCACGGCAGCAACGGCGAGGCAACGCACCTGCTGCCAGAGGAAAAAGTCGAGGTCATCAAGGCGGCGCGCCGGCTCATCAGGGAGAAGGGGTCCAAGGCGACCATCATGGCGGGCTGCAGCGCCAACAGCGTGCGCGAGACGGTGCAGGCGCTGCGTGCGGCCCATGCCGCGGGCGCTGACCACGCGCTCGTGCTGCCGCCCAACTACTGGGCCGCCGCCATGACCAAGCCGGTACTCAAGAGCTACTTTCTCGATGTCGCCGCGCAGTCGCCGCTGCCGATCGTGCTGTACAACTTCCCCGGCGTGCGGTCGGGCATCGACCTCGACTCGGATATCATTGGCGAGCTCGCGCGCGAAGCGCCGCAGATTGTCGGCGTCAAGCTGACGTGCGGCAACATTGGCAAGCTGCAGCGGCTGTCGGCCGAGTTTGATGCCGCGCGGTTTGCGCCGCTCGTCGGCAAGGGCGACTTCCTGCTGCCGGGGCTCGTCGTAGGTGGCCAGGGGGCCATTTCGGCGCTGGCGAACGTGGTGCCGAAGCTGCACATCGAGCTCGTGCGGTTGTATCAGGCCGGAGAACTGGCCAAGGCGCAGGAGATCCAGAAGCTGTTGTCCGTGGCGGACTGGGCGCTGCAGAAGGGAGGTATTTCAGGCGTCAAGGCGGCGGTCGGCAAGTGGTATGGCTATGGCAACCCCCGAGCAAGGGCACCGCTGCCGACCGTGTCCGATGCCGTGTTTGCAGTGGGTGTTGATGCCATCCAAAAGGTGGTTGACCTTGAGAATAAATTGTGAGGTTGCATAATTTGGTTAGTTGTACAGACGAGACGGATGTAGTGGGCAGTGATAATAGACCATCGCCTTCCAAGATGACGGAAGTGAGTGAGAAACAGCATTCGGGGTATCAAACAATGGATTCATGCTTCTATCATTCCTGCGCCCTCCGCGCTGATCCTACTTCTTGACTGACTTGCCCTCGTTCGACGACCAAAAGTCCTTGCTGACCTTGTCCTGCTCCGGTGCTGCAGCAGCTGCCTCTCGCGTAGCCTCAAACTCTTTGTTGTGCCGGTCGACTTCCTCTTGCTGCTCTTTCGTCAGGCCCTTGTCCTTGCCCTGAGGCAGCGCGCCGCTGTCAACCTTGGGGGGCCTGGGCGCGTTCTGGGAGCTTTCGAGGCCATCACCGCCGCCTGTGCGACCGCGAGCGTCGCCGTCTGCGAGACTGTCGTCAATGGCAGAGCCGCCAAGATGTTTCGTCGGAGGCTCATCGGCAAAGGTGGCTGCCCGTGTAACAGGCTGAAGAGAAGGGGCAAAGGCTGAGGGCCGCAAGATGCTCGCCACGGCGGGCTTCGTCAGGTGGATGGCCGTGGGCCGCAGGCGAAGGAGGGATCGATTCATGTTTCTCGGTGCTGGTGTTAACGAGTTATATTGGTGTGTGATGGTTTGGTCGTGTAGCTGAAGATGGAGGCTGGTCAATAGGTGGGTTGATCGAGGCAAACGCACTTTGTGATGCAGACTGGCAGCAGAAGGGATGATGTAGACTCCAGATTTGAATCAAGAGCTCATGACCAAGGCGCCAGAGGTAAAAAGGCAGCTACCCTGGTCCCTTATCGAACGGCAGGTGCTCACTGTCGTCACTGCCATCCCATCATGATGACGATGTTGGGCCCATTGGTGCATGTCATTGGTGGAGGGGCGTTTGCTCCTGCCTCGCCGACATCGCGCCAGCAGTGGCCCTGATCGACACTCGTCATAGGTCTCAGGCCGACAGGGAGAATACTGGGCTCATCGGAGGGCTGCATTGACAGTCATCTCTCCAGAGTTTGCCATTCACTGCCCGACATCTCTACAGAGTTCGCCGTCTCCAAGTTGGATGTGTTCCGATGACACCGATTCGTGAAAGCCTCATCAACCATGGATAGTGAAACCAATAATATCTCTCTTGAGATTTAAAGAATAGGCGTCAATTTATCGCGAGCATGATGCACAATTCATTGCCTACAGACTGGGAAATGATTGCCCGATGCATGCAACACTTGACTGTCAATCTTGTCCGTACATGCAGCATCACACGACTAGCCTTCAGGCGAAGGCCTCAGCGGTGGCTGGAAATTGTCGAGATACGACCACAAGACCTTGATCTTGGCGCCCTCCGCAACAATGACATTGCCACCCAGTTGAGACGGCGCCTGCCTGGGGTCCCCCTCAGTCCCTTCTGGCACGACCCTCCAGCGCGACGTAGCCATGTTCTGGCATACCTTGATGTCTTCGGCGGGGCTGTGGACGGTACCATCCTGCTGGTTCATCACGATGGTCGAGTGCGCAAGCACGCCGTCGTGGCCGTGGTGCGCACTGCCATCCGAGTCAAACCAGACAGCGTCGGGGGCGAAGACTGCCTCGATGGCCTTGAGGCGGACTTGTGGGTTGTTGATCGAGAGGAAGGTAATGGAGCGTGTTGTCAGGGTGAACATCGTGTCCCTCTCGGGAAGCGATGTCAGGGAGATGGCGATGTGGTCTGGAGCTGACATGGTGATGCCCTACAAGCTGGACGGAAGAAGAGGAGTAAGGCTGGGCTCTGTTTTCCTGCACTTTGCTCTCTGCTGCTTCTTTTGCCCGGCTGTCCACCATGCTCTTGTACTTCACCAGACAGGCAGATGTTTTGACACATGATACCACCTAGCTCACCTGCGATTCACATGGGCGAGGGTGTTGAGGCATGTAAGATCCAGCTGAATAGGCCGTACGAGAACGAGCCACGGACACCCCGCCCTGAGTCAGCCACACGGCAACGTGCAAAAGGATTCGTAGATATTGTCCAGATTGCTGCAACTAGTGCTGTTGAGCAACGATGCTGAACAGAGGCTGGCTGGCTGGCTGGAGGTGTGGCGGCTGACTGCTGCAGGTTGGTGCTCCAGCTTCCCCTCCGAACCCTTTGGGGCACGCATACATAAGGTAGTACCTTGAGTAAGTACCTAACCCAGTATCGGCCAGTCTGCATGTGACTGGAGCGAGCGGCAACTTACGAGAACAAACAACCAATTCATGATAAGGAGCATACTCTTCCGGCTTCGCCCACGGCGGCAGTGACGAACGAGGTTGAGCATCCCAAGCACACACCTCACTTAGACTTCCAAAGGGAGGTCCAAAATGCTGGCAAACAGGCCCCCGGATGCACGGCAGACATGGGCAACCCCTGGAGCCGGGCGCCAGCGGCTGAGTGGAGTGCCTTTTAGCAGCCTACCCCGCAGTTCCAGCGCTGAACCCGCTGTAGATGGCCTTTTTCTCGCCGAAACCCCCCTGAAGCTTGCCAGCGGCTTTCCACGACGCCCATTGGCGAGGCCGACGTGCGAGGCATCACCTGTTCGAGATTCTTTCAACTATTCAACTACCATATGCCCCAGCCGGTATTCCCGCGCCATTGACAGCTCCCCTAAACCGCAGGCGTGCTTCACGATAGGGCGACTGGATGCAGAGGGAGGGAACATGATGGGTTCCGGAACATAAAGGGTTCCTTCGAGTCCTCGACGAGACCACGATAGCCTCTCCTTCCTCCTCAACCGCTCCTCGACCAGGAACTGCTCGACCAGGAACTGTTCGACCAGGAACTGTACGACCAGGAACTGCACGACCAGGAACCTGAGCAAGAGCATTGATCGCCATCATCATCATCATCATCATCAACACCATCATCGCATTACCACACGACATCAACATGCTCCAGGCAATCGACGACAAGCTCGTCTTCACGTTCGATGCCGAGACGCTCTGGATCCAGCCATGGGGTGCCAACGCCCTGCGCATCCGCTCGACCCGCGCTCGGGAGATGCCCGACGAGGATTGGGCCCTGCTGAAGCCGGCCGCAGCGACGCCCAAGATGACCATTGACGAGCAGAGCGGTGGCACGCTCGAGAACGGCAACGTCAAAGCCTCCATCACCAAGGCAGGCAAAATTACTGTACACAATGCAAAGGGCGATCTGCTGCTTGAGGAGTACACCCGCGCCCGCAAAGATGTCCGCGACCCCAAGTGCAGCGCCCTCAATGTCGAGGCGCGCGAGTTCAAGCCCCTCGCCAATAGTGACAGCTACCACCTGACTGCTCGTTTTGAATCCGTCGATCCAGACGAGAAGCTTTTCGGCATGGGCCAGTACCAACAGCCGTTTCTCGACCTCAAGGGCCATGACCTCGAGCTCGCCCACCGCAACTCGCAGGCCTCTGTGCCTTTTGCCTTGAGCTCCCTCGGCTACGGCCTGCTTTGGAACAACCCGTCCATTGGCAGAGCGTTTCTCGGCCGCAACATCATGTCCTTTGACGCGCGATCCACGACGACGCTAGACTACTGGATCGTCGCCGGTGACACGCCCGCCGCCATCGTCGAGGCCTACGCTGACGCGACGGGAAAGGTCCCATTAGCACCCGAATTCATGCTGGGATTTTGGCAGTGCAAGCTCCGCTATCAGACCCAGGAGGAGCTCCTCTCCGTGGCCCGCGAGTACCGCCGCCGCGAGCTCCCCATTGACCTCATCGTCATCGACTTCTTCCACTGGCCGACGCAGGGTGACTGGCGCTTCGACCCCACCTACTGGCCCGACCCCGACGCCATGATCGCCGAGCTGCGAACGCTGAAGATCGAGCTCATGGTCAGCATCTGGCCCACCGTGGACAAGCGCAGTGAGAACTACCGCGAGATGCTCGAGAAGGGCTACCTCATCCGCGTCGACAGGGGCATCCGCGCGGCCATGGACTTCATGGGCAACACGGTGCACTTTGACGCGACGCACCCCGGGTCGCGCGAGTACGTCTGGCAAAAGGCCAAGAAGAACTACTACGACAAGGGCATCCGCATCTTCTGGCTCGACGAGGCCGAGCCCGAGTACAAGATTTACGACTTTGACAACTACCGCTACCACGCGGGGCCCAACACGGCCGTCGGGAACCTGTACCCGCTCGAGTACGCGCGCGCCTTCTACGAGGGCATGCGCGCCGAGGGCCAGGAGAACATTGTCAACCTGCTGCGCTGCGCGTGGGCCGGCAGCCAAAAGTACGGCGCCCTCGTCTGGAGCGGCGACATTGGCTCCTCGTGGATCAGTCTCCGCAACCAGGTCGCCGCCGGCCTGCACATGGGCGTCGCCGGCCTGCCGTGGTGGACGACGGACATTGGTGGCTTCCACGGCGGCGACCCCACGGACCCCAAGTTCCGCGAGCTCTTTGTGCGGTGGTTCCAGTGGGGCGCCTTCTGTCCCGTCATGCGCCTCCACGGCTTCCGGGAGCCGATGCAGCCGCAGCACGGCACGACGGGGGGCGCCGCGTGCCTCAGCGGCGCGCCGAACGAGGTCTGGTCCTACGGCGAGGACGTGTATGCGATTTGCAAAAAGTACATGTTCCTGCGGGAGACGTTGAGGGAGTACACGCGGGGGCTGATGAAGCAGGCGCACGAGAAGGGCACGCCGGTCATGCGCATGCTCTTCTACGAGTTCCCCGAGGATCAGGAGTGCTGGAGAATCGGGCAGCAGTACATGTACGGCGACAAGTATCTGTGCTGCCCGGTCCTGCAGGAGGGAGCGAGACGGACGAAAGTCTACCTGCCAAAGCTGGCGAGCGGCGAGTGGACGTCTATGCAGGAGGGGAAAGAGGAACGTTCTGCCGGCGGTCAATGGATCGAAGTTGATGCCCCGTTGGAGTGGATGCCTGTGTTTGTCAGGGAATGAGGGCGTTACGGTTGTCGAGGATGTAAACTTGACTGTTCATGCTGTACGAGTCAGTAGATGCTTTCTTCCATGCGGCATCAAGAGAAAGCTTCAAGAGACGTGGTTTGATGGTTTCTTCGAAGTGTTCCTAAGAAAAAAAAAACCCAGACACGTCAGTGGTACACAAAGCTACGGGCTACGGGGACGTGACCTATATTCAATGTCGCGAAGGCTAGGGTGGCCAACACGTTGTCGGTGCTCCGACGACGAAAGCATAAAAGGTTTAAACACCACGACACGACTGCTGTTGCAATGTTCCTGCTCTGGCAACTTTTCTGCTCAACATAGTGTAACATCGCCCTAGTAAGATGTAAACATGGGTATCGGCTCGTGCTTTCGCATGGGAACCAGCCATTTTTGCAGTGCGCACATACCTGCCTTTCTCTCCTGACAAGCTCTAGAAACAAAAGAGGTGCAAAGTCGTGGTGGTACAGTGGTTTCCATCGAGTATTCGCACGCATAATCTACTACTCACAACTTACCCACAGCCTCTCTTATCTCGCATCTGCTGAAGAATGTGTACAGACGCAGGCCCAGGCTGATTGTGACAGTCGATCCCATTACCCCGGCAAGCCACTACAACCCTTCTTCAGCTGAACCACTTCAGCCATGCTTTCCAGCCCCAGCGATTGCTCGCATCCTTGGCGTGAGATTGGAACGCTGGAAAAGAATGATACGTATGTAGAACTCTCGAATTTGTCAGGCTGCTGCCATGTCCAGAATCATCGTTCCATCGGTCAACCGGGGACCAGGTCCCGCAAACCTCACATATACCTGGCGGTGACGCATCGGAATAGGGCGAAACCGACCCGCACCCGACAAACAGCTTCCTAGCTCGCAGCGAAAGTGACGTCCGACCTTTCGTTGCGCACCATCTCGATTGTGTCGTCGACGGCGGGCCTCGAGTCAGAACAGTGGGATCCCACGCTGGCGCCTGCGCCGGGGATAACCATTCCACTCGCCCTGGCACGCCTGGTGCCTCGCTCATGGCTCCGGATGTGATGGGACGCTGCGGGCAGCTTTGGGAGGCACACAGGCATCACATGGCGCTAACAGGACGAGAGGACCATGCGCATGGTGCTCTGGACTTATACGTCAAGAGTCGGACGAGACGTGTGGGGTACAATACCCTTGATCTGGCGCTGGGCCTTTGTGATCGTCGTACACAGACAAATACGACTGCTTTGTTTGTTATCCCCGAAAGAATGCGGCTTTGGGGACCCTCTCGAACAGCCTTATTGCGACCGAGCACACAGTCCGTCGTGTCTCTCGACCGATCCGGTGACACCAGCTCCCATGATCCGCAATCGTCGCCCAGTCTGAGCGAGCGAGAGTCAGGGCAGGGCTGGCTTGCCATGCCAGCACTCGAACGACGGCGCTGCACGGGCCCATTTCTGTTCATGCCCGCAGCCAGACTCAAGTCTAGTTGGGAATAAGAGGACAGCCGGGGCGCGGTCTACCAAGTACGGTCCTGGTCCTTTAGCAGACTGGGACGCTTGAGCGCCAGAACCTTACCCCATTCATCGCAGCATGGAGGCCGCCACATGCCTAATGAGTGCAAGTCGGATGAGTCGAGTGGCACCCGGAATCTCGACTACTATGGAAGCTGCCCCAACAAGCTAGCGAAGCTTGTGGCTGGCGCGAACCAGCGGGCCAAGCGCACAAGACCCTGTCGATTCGCCCACTACCGACATGGGCACCAACATCTGTTCCTGATCCTGCTGCGTCTTCGTGGGCGTGCTGACGGACTAAGCGAGTTCGAAGCGTCATGGCGTTCAGGCTGGCGAGCTGTCCTCTCGTCGTCCCCTCACTGTTTGTCGAAGCATAGGGCCATGGCCCCATGCCAGCCTGCGCGCGACGAGGCCGAGGCCCTGTTGCCGATTGTCACGGTAAGCCACGTGGTTGACACGGCGGTCCAAGCGACCGATCATTTTCGGTATCGCGCCATGGTGCGTTGCATCTGTGTTCGCGCGCAAGCCGCCAGCGAAAATACTCATGACGGGAGGAGGATGGATGGAGTCGGGGGCTTCTCTCGTTGTGACGAACGCGCCCCCGTTTTCTCCTCGTCAGAATCTCCTCTTCAGAGTCTCGGAGAAGAATCGGTCCAACGGCTGCAAGTGCCGTTGCGGTGCCTCTTGTGTCTCGCATTCGTGCTCACATTGCTTTTCTACTCTCTATAGCCCCTGACACTTGCGACACTTGGGACATCTGGCGTGGGGAAGGGCAATATGAGTGCATGCAGGGCGAACCTGACACCACATCCAGCCAAACGAAACTCTCCACGATCTCGGCTCTCGGAAAATCTCTGCGCATCCTCCTCTCTATCACCATCACGCGCTAAGATGACACCCCATGTGGAAAAGAAACCAAAAGCCAGGTGAGCGGAGAGGGCCAAGCAGCGCTAGAAGAGGTTCGGTCCTAGTCTTGTGAATCAGGAACGCACCAAGCCTGCCCAAACGCCCCACGGCAATCGGCTTGAACGTCTCTGCGCGCGCCCTGGGCCGGCCCAGCTGGTCGTGTGCTGCTGGGTCTGGCTCATGTAGCACGCACTGATCCCTTCAGCTGGCTCTTGACCCCCCTCCCCGCCCCTCGCCCCCTTGCTAGCCAGCGAAACCAAAAAGCAACCTAGGTTTGCCCGAGGCGTCCCCGGATCACCAAGGTGCGTCCACTGGGATGTGGGCTTGTAATCTGTTCATGTTTCGGTGACTAGCCCTGGCCGCACCGCGCAATGGCCGGTGGAGTGGGTGGGTAGAGAGATGGATGAGTGGATGGTGTTAATTCTCTTTGTTTTTCTTTTCGGCGTTTATGCCTGCACTGTTCCTGTTCAGTAATGGATATCCTATGCCGATCCAGGGGGGTGCCTTTCCCGACAAACGGATTTTGACGTCCCACGTGGCTGGCTGAGCGGTTGGCCTGGGCGGTATATGAGCTGCGGATGGCGCCCACTCGGGGAACAGAGTGAAGGAGGGAACGAGGCTTTCTGGTGTGTCCTTACTTCTTCACCGTTCGTCATTGCTTCGTCGACGAGCCCCCCATCGCCACCTTCGTCACGTCCCGCGGATCATACAACGCCAAGGATGGAAGTCCCAACCTGGTTGCAATGGTACAAGAAGCCAGAGTACCGAGACATCAAGCAGTACTCGACCGACGTGCGTAATGGACGCCGCAGCATATCCTCTGATGGCAAGGGCAAGTCCAGTATCCCGCCTCACCTGAGCCTGGATAGGGTGCTCGCGAACAAGACTTGTAAGTGATGACCAAACGAAGAGGTTGTCCCGACGCAGCTGGGCTGACTTGGCTACCATAGGCAGTCCCATGTCTCTCTATGACTTTTACATGTACTTGAAGCACATCGAGTACTCGCCTGAGAACCTCGAGTTCTACGTCTGGTTCAAGAACTACGAGGCAAGATGGTCGAAGCACAGCCGGCAACAAGACTACGAACCGGTAGAGAAGGACCTTAGCACCGCTAGCACCTATCAGGCGTCTGAGGGATACTCCTCCGAGACGGAGCTCGGCCTGAAGAGCGAACCTCTGGAGACCGTCGAGCTGGCAGAGCTTTCAGCGGACCTCGAAACTGGTATGGTGCCACCTCCTCTCTCAGATGTGTCGATGCCCAGACTAACACGACACGCAGCCAGCGAGACGACGACACGGATTCTCGAGGTCGCTCTGCCCAAGACGGCCTGCACGCCGCTGACAAAACCCAAGCGTACAGCCCGCGACCACCTCCGCGCCCTCACCTCAGCCTGCACCAACGCCTGCGCCCTCCCAACAGACGCGCTCCCGACACTGCCAGGAACACATCCCTTTGACGCAGCGCCGGAGCTCTCTTCCATCATCCAGACGTATCTCCTGCCGTCGTCGCCCAAGGAGCTCAACATCCCGCCCGCGCTCCGCGACACGGCCCTCGAGGCGCTCAAGACATCTCCCGCCCCGGTCCACCTGGCGCCGATCGCCGGGCACGTCTACGACCTGCTGCGCACGTGCTCGCACCCCAACTTCCTCCGCCTCGGCGTCGCCAACGGCACCCTCGAGACCGTCTGCGTCGCGACCTCGCTCGGCATCGCCCTCACCTTCGCCGGCCTCCTCTTCACCCTGCTCCGCGCCTTTGTGCCCTTTACAGGTGCCCACACGCGACTCGTCCTCCTCGGATCCTGGTTCTTCTGGTTCCTCGGCCTGAGCTTCATCCTGTCGGGCCTGCGCGGCAGCTGCTTCTTCCTGCTGCTCTTTTCGCGCCGCCAGCCCCTGCCATGGGAGCGCTTCGATGACAGCGCGTCCATGTCCTCGGTGCGGTCGGGTGTCGCGCGCGTGCTGGGCCGCCTCATGATCTTTGATCGCAAGCTCCGCGTCGGCGATGTCAACCTGCGCAGGCTGCAGCGGAAGATTGTGCTGCAGAGCTTGGCAGGCGGTGCCATTGGCGGCACGATCGGCGTCTTGGTGTTTGTGTTCCTGCCGGTCTGGAAGGAGACTGTCAAGCTGTAATGGTGCACTTTGCGAGTGGTTTGAAAAGACAATATCAAGATGTGACGAGATCCATAGCGTGCAGAATTAAAGTTGCTTTCTTTCCTCTTCATATTCATGATCTGGTGGCTGTGATGAACGTTTCATTTTGCTAATATGGGTATCGCGTCGTGATGCAAGCAGGAAGAGACACGAAGGCTAAATATATACAAAAGACGCCGTCGCTTTGGACGAAGTGCACCTGGAAAACACGACATCTGGAGGCGAATAGACCAGGTCCAGCGCTGCTCTCTCTCAGACCATCTCATCGCCGCGAATATTGTGCCCAGGTGCATGGCGGGGCCGGCTCGCCGTCGTGTCTGGAACTTGTAAATTGCGATCCGGACCAACGGCGGCGTTGCCTGTCATCCTGGGAGCATAGGTTGCGCTGCTACGGCCGCTAGGAGGGAGCGGCTTCTCGTCGATGGCTTCAGAACTTTTGGCCCACCCTGCTGACCGAGTAAAGACGCCATCGCGAGGTCCGTATCCCTTATCCAGAGTGTAGGCAAAGTCCTCGTTGCGCTGCAGAGGAATGTGGTTGAAGCGCCAGTCCCAGATGGCGGCGTAGTTGCCTCTGTAGGCGGCAACAGCAGCACCTGTGCCAATGATACTGCCGGCAAGAATGTCGTACCAGTGGTGCGCCTGGTCGATCGTGAGCACGCACGCCTTGAGGAAGGCTCCGAGCAGGGGTGCGATGGTTAGGGCCACCTTCCAGAACGCAGGACGGTAGGCGGCCCAGACCTTGAGCTTGGCATTGAAGTAGAGATGCAGGAACACAAAGCCGGCAAAGGCTGTGGCAGCATGACCAGAAGGCCAGCTTGTCATGGCTGTTTTCAAAAGCTTCTTGTCAGGCTGGGTGCAGATTTCGGAGGTGTACATGATCTCGTGAAAGCCGACGCCGTTGAGACCCGTCGAATTATGGGACGACGCGAGGGAGATATCAGGCATGCAGACGGCCAGAAAGTAAGGGCGGAAGCCGCCGATTAGGTGTTTGACAATGACACAAGAAAGCGTCTGGATGATGAGAGCCTGGACCACGCCCATGATGGCGTTGTTGGCGTCCCAGAAACTACGGACGCGAATCTGCGCGAGCAGGATGAAGACGATGGGAATAAAAGCAGAGATGCAGGCCGAGAGACCAGAGGAAATGATCCAGCCGCGCTCTGGGTAAGCAAGACTTGGGAACACAATGTCACCAGAGTCGGTAAAGGTGACAGGGAAGGTTCGTGTTGCTGCTAGCGGTGCACTGTAGATCTGGAGACGGCTGCTGTCAGCGGACGGACCTCGTGCGAAACAAAAGGCGACATACCCCAAGCGTGGCAAAGCCTAGAACGGCCATGGTCAGGAGGTCGAGCCACATGGTGCGTAACCAGCCCAGGAAGAATTGGCCGCAGCTCCGACGCGAGCGAATTGTGTCGCGGGTGAAGGTGGGTTGGATGCCATCACCACGGATCCTGTCGATGATGGACATGATAGTGATAGCTCGCAGGGAGCCAGGAGCACTAGGGGAAGTGAATTTTACTGAACAGCTTCAAGATGAGAGAGGTGTATCGAAGAGGACAGGATGTGTATGCGAGGTCAGAGAAGATGCTGGCGTTGATGATGATATAAAAGCGCGGCTGATGACTGTCTCTGGGCCTTCCAAGCCAAGACGGCAGCTGATGTCATGTTGTCTGCGTCTGTGTGCGCAGGAGCGAGCCGCGGCCAATGTGGAAGATCTGATGGTCGCTTGGCAAGTGAAGGTTTCTCTTGGGTGTGACGATGGTTCGCCTGGCTGGGCCCATGTTGGTTGGCGGAGGATCGCCTGCGAGGGCCGGGGAAATCTGGACGGTGACATGGGCATGTGTGCGCTGGTCGAGGGTGCAAAACAGGGAAGCCGACAGGAAGGTGCACTGCAATTCAGAGTTGAGGCTACCTGAAGCAGGAGCGATCAGCGAGATGAGCCACTGACGTCAATCCGTAGCAGCGCCGTTGGTCGAGGCCTGTGGCTGGTCGGCAGGTACTTTCTCTAGGCAGGTGGCGTAGCGCCTGTTCCTGCTGCTCTTGTTTGTTCCTGCCTGTTTCTGCCTGTTTCTGCCTGCTCGCAAATGCGTTCTCGGTGCCGCCTCCGGTTGGCTGCGAGGGCAACCCCCAACAGTCAACCTCACAGCTCAGCAAGTCATCAAGATGATCATGTTCGCTGCAAATCCCACCCCTTGTACCTTACCCTTTATACCCGAATACTTAACCCACGGGGCGTCATTTCATTCAAAACATGTAATTTCTTGTTGCCTCCCATGGACATCCCCAGGGCTGGCAAACACCTGATCTCGTTCCTGCGACGTCACGAATCATGGAAGCTGTGATGGACATCTTTGGCGACAATAGCTGAAGAGACTAACCCCTTGAGCAGACATGCCATCTGCTACACCCATGCTCCGTCATGGTACACCGCATGTCGGCTTGCATAAGGTAGACTAGGTTGATCTCCATCTCCACCTGGACCGTCGTTGCCAAATGCGAACAGCCTCACACTTCTCTTGAGTTGCTTCAACACTGTTGCAAATCAACGAAGCATTGGCAGTCAACTCGGCTCGTTTTCTGTGTCGCGCCGCTGGATCGTTTGTCCACTTGATATGCTACCTTGTCATCGAAGGGCTCGACCTTGTGGTGCATATCCAGTTGAGGCTGCTAACGTACATTCTGCTACGCCCGATTGGCCTCGCTACCACACGCCAGACGCCCGAGCCCTGACAAACATCAACATGGGGACGTTGAGCTCATGACTCGTGACTTGGACGCCTTTGGAAGCGGGAAACGACAAATCCCGCTTATTGTTGTTACCTTTCTAGTGCCGTCCCTTCCGAAAATGCTACCTGTGGTTGCTCTCAGTGTGACTTACATTTCAGACTTGAGCGTATCCCGCGAACCTAAGTCTTCGTTTCGGGCGCAGTTCCTGCGAAAGGCAGCGTATCTATACGGGTGTCACAGTGGTAGACCGTCACATTGAATTGACAATCCCCTTGAGCCAAAAGCTAAACACATTGCAGCGACACGTGCACCAGCATCACTTTGATGGCCCAAAATATCTTGCAATAATGTACCTCTCCTTTTAAATGGCTTAGTTGTCTGGTCTCGATAGTTGCAGAATCTGAGGGATCAGGAGCTACTCAGCCTCCGTCTTACACGAGACTGTCGACATGAAGATGCGCTACATCAACTTTGCTTTTGTTTCTCTGTGGCTCCTGGGATTCCAGTACTGCCGAATTCACAATTACCGTGATCCTACATCGTACTTTTTCAAGCCCGAACGAGCGTACCGCAGCGAGTATTCCAACACTAGAATCCTCGAAGCCCAACGGTTCATCGAAGAACATGCTGGAGTACCCAGCTTGCGGACCAATCGAATACTCCGCCCAACCGAAGAAGCACCCAGACTATGCATTGGCATACCCAGCTTTGGACAAAGGCCTGGCATGGACGATAGTCTCTTGCACACTCTTGCTTCACTCATCGACCATCTGACACACGTTGAACGAGAGACTATCTACATTGCCGTTCTCATCGTCGATAACCCACCAACTAAACATCCAAGCTTTTACACGCAGCAGCTGACAATGTTTGCTGACGAGATTCTTGGTTACGATGGCCACATCAACCGCACCAAGACTGTCCTCGCCTTTGATGGCGGAAATCTCAATCCGGTCCTTATCCCCGACACCCTTTCGATACAACGAAAAATAGACTCCGACGTTGCCCTCCTAGTCGACGCATGCCAATCGACTCAGGCGGGTTACTTTGCGCTCGTTGAAGACGACGTGGTAGCCTCAAAGGATTGGTTCGCCAGGACCTTAGAAGCAGTGACGTTGCTCGAGGAAAAGAGGCATAAGTCACACAGGGACTGGCTCTATCTTCGGTTATTCTACTCGGAGACCTATCTTGGCTGGAATGATGAAGAGTGGATGTGCTATGCGGCCTGGATTGTCAGCGCCTACGTCTTTGTCATTTCCTGCCTTGCGATTGCTACTCGTCTCTCGACCCCCGGGCGGTCGACCACCTCCTGTCGATGCTCGAAACATTTCATCAAGATCTACGCTTCAGTATTGAGCCTCTGGCTACCATTGACCATCGCGTTGTACTTTCTGGCCGGAAGACTCACGATGCAGCCGATGTCACCTGGCGTGCACCAAATGTCAAACTACGGTTGCTGTACGCAGGCACTCGTATTTCCGAAGCGGCACATGGAAGATGTATCTCATCATCTCCGAGATCCCGAATTTGAGTTATTTCCAGATCAGATGATCGAGATATTGGCTGACAGGGAGGGCCTTGCCAAGTGGGCGTTGGTGCCGAGCGCCGTGCAACATGTTGGAAGGAAGAGCTCGTCAATCGCGGTTGGAAGGACCAAGCCGACGTGGAATTTCCGATTTGAGAAGCAGCACTAAGATATATTTGGGTAGGTAGTCCTAGTCGGTTGGACAGAAACATATCGCCAGATGAGCCCCATGGTAGTGTGTTGTAATGTTGCTTCCGCCCCCTCGTAGGCCGCGGCCTGCTACTGATGATGCTTGCTACCGAGACACGAACAGAAACCCCTTTGCTCCATCCAAACTGTGCTTAAATACCGACGCTCCTATCCAGTTCCCGTCATCGCCATACTCTTCTCATCCTTGCCAAACAGCCTCGATGATGACAAAGAATGTCATGGGGTTAGCCTCGACCCTGACAATCTCAAACCTCTCGTCGGCCTTGTGGAAAATCTCCTCCCAGGCCTTGACGGGCCTCTCCTTGGTTGCAAACAGAGCCATCATGCGAATGTCGGTCGACGTTCCCATCTGCTGAATCGACCGCGGCAGTGGCTCGCCCTCCTGCTCGCCCTGCTTGCCGACGTAGTCGATGAAGAGCACGCGCGCGCCGCGCTTGAGGCTCGGTCGCAGCGCCTGCAGAATCTGTACCGACTCCTTGTCAGGCCAATCGTGCAGGATGAGCTTGAACATGTACACGTCGGCCGACAGAGCCTGGGGCTCGAAGAAGGACTGCGCGTGGAAGGTGACGCGCGAGGCGAGCTCTGCCGGCCGGTTGGCCGTGAAGACGGGCTCGACCTCGGGGAGGTCCTGCACCGTGATCTTGAGATTCGGGTAGGCCTTCGCCAGGGCAAAGTCGTCGTGGCCGCCGGAGCCGCCGAGCTGGAAGACACGTGGTGTTAGTGCTGTGACAAAAGTCTGGAGGCATGATGCAGGGGACGCAACGTACGTCGACGACGGAAATGTCGCCCGCGGCTTTCCAGTCATAAGCATCGAGGACAACCTGCTCGAGACGGAAGATGTCCTTGAGGTAGTTCATGAAGGTGACGAAATTGCGCGACCGCCACCCCTTCTTCTCGCCTTCGCCGTCATTCTCGATGTAGTCCCAGCTGTTCTTGTAACGGCCGAGCGGGCCGTCGTTGTTGTGCAGCACGGCAAAGGCCGTCTTGGTCATGTCTTGCGACAGCTCTGTCTGGCCCTTGCAGTGCTGCTCGAGCGCACGGTTCATAAGGGTCATGGGCGGGCCGGCATCGTCGAGCAGGGTGGCGACGAGTGCGCGGAGACCTGTGTTCTTGGCGAGGGCAGCGGAGCGGGATGTGTGGCGTACACCCGAGGCTGGTCGGCCTGGAGTGACTTCAGCGAAGAGGCGAAGCGTCGTTGCGTGCTCGAGGACGCGCTCGACGACTTCTTGTGGCAGGGAGGTGTGCTTGGCGATGGTGGCGTGATCAGCCGAGCCGTCCAGGGGGACTGCGTCCCAGAAGTTGAAATGGTTCAAGATGTTCAGCACAGCAACGTCAGGCATGGACTGAGAGATGTCAGATGCGTGGGGCAGGTAAGACTCGAGGGAGAGAGCTCACGTTGTGAACATAGTTGAAGATGCTCTCGCTTGGGCCTTGGGCGAGGTACCACATGTCTTGCAAGGAGTCGAGGAGCTTCTGGCGCAGCACAAAGGCCTCCGGCGTGATGCCCTCATAGCTGGTCGGGCTATCTGCTTCGAAGGTTGGTTGGGGGATTTTGTTCTGCTCGAGGAACTTGGTAAAGGAGGCTGACAGCTCAGTCACCTTGGCCGCAAGGCTCTCTAGAGTTTCTGGGGAATTAGACATTGTATGGGATGGTCGAATCGAACGGGGAGTGTGAGAGTAGCAGAGATCGTGAGTGATCGACACGGCCGCTATGGTCAGGGGCCAGGCTATCTATTTAACGTCGAACCCTGAATCACGACCTTGCGACAGAGTGCTCTGGCCTCGAGCTACCCCTCCTCGCGCCCGACTAACTGCCCCTCCGCACTCGGACAATCGCCATTCTGCAGGAGAAACTAGAACCGAAAGCGAATACATGATCCATCCTGGTGTGGAAAGAAGACCAAGGTAGTGGCGGTAGTGGATGTAACACCAACGCAAGGCGACGATCAGATAATCTTATCAGATCAAAAGTGATGGAGATCCCACCAAATGCTAGGCCCAGTGGAGGCTAGACCGTTGGGGTCTGTCCCCAGGGGTGACATCAGTGCCGGCTCCATGACGTGGTCTTGCGGCATTTTCCAGGGCACCAAGCAGAAGAAGGGAGCACCTAGGAGATTTTAGGTCGCAGGCCATTCGATGTGTGGCGCCGCCAGTGCCGCTCCTTGGCTTAATGTTCCCGTGGGGTTGGCCTCGGCACTTCTTTGAGGCGCCGTTCTGGTTATGCGGTCGTGGAAGTTTGCGCCGTGAAGGAGGGAGGGAGGCCTTGCGGCTCCATGCACAGCAATGTCTGAACGGAATGTGGGCGAAGATCTCTTGTCGCCTTGCGGCAACTCTCGGGGACTTGGCGTCAGATCACGTCTTCTGCGGGATTAACACCGAGCAGCGTCGAAATCCGACGTGGAGGGGTAGTAGACCGATGGAGGAGAAAGCGGGATGGAGCAAGCCGGAACATAGCTTATGTGGCATTAGGTTGAGACCCGTCAAAGGCGGATCTTTCATCGCTGGGGGTCTGAGGGAAGATCTTTTCAACGGTTTCGCAGGATGAATGTTTCACCCTAACCTCAAGGCCGTCGGTTAGACTTTCCTTGCAGCTAACTCATCGTCGCCAGATACCTCCAGACAGACCCCCAAGCTGATTTCAGAGTTGAACCTAGTCCACGTGGGCCAGCTGCTTCATATTTCTTTTCGAAGGTTCTCTTGTTCTGATGGGCAATGTACGGATTCTCGTAACACCTCTTGTGAGAGTCAACGATTGCCGTGAATGAATGCCGTGGAGATTTCTCCCCGAGGTGAAGGTCCGAAAAATGCTTCGGTCGAGGTTTGGTCCGAAGCCAATTACTGGGTTCCGAGCTTTGTGCAAGGGCTATGTCTTGTTCCGAGCCAACACCTCACTTCCTCTCGCGGCCGAGCTCGTCCACCTGCTCTCCGCCTTCGGCGTCCCTGGCCTTGACAGCCCACGCCAGCTCCTCATCAGCCTGCACTGCCCGCTTCTCGTCCTCCTCTCCAAGCTTGACGTTCTGCGCTAACCAGGCCAGAAGAACGAGCACCGTGCCGACGCACAACGACCCGATCGCCAGCGTCTGCTGAGTCTCGCGGTACGCCTCATTGATGTCATCTCTCTCCACACTACCGATCGTGTAGTTCTGCGCAACAACGATGGACCCAAAGATTTTACGCGCCTCGGCTGCGGGGAACTTGGCGCGCAGCTTGCGCGGGAGGATCGAGTTCCAGATGCCACCGCTGATGGTCGTGCCTAGGTTCGAACCGAAGCCCAGGGATGAGAGGTAAACGGCCGTGGCCACGGCGATTTCCTCATTGCCAACCGCCGCTTGGAGGGCAACTTGTAGAGACACCTGAGCGAGGCCGCGACCCACGCCGAGGAGCGACTTGACTGTGATGAAGGCAGGCTCGTTGCCAATATGTGAGCCCGATATGTTGGTGAGGTAGATTGGGAGACCCGCGGCAAGGAGGATGAGGACCACACCGATGGCGATGAATGGCTTTGTCTGCTTGAAATACTTAAGCAACAGTCCACAGAGGAGGGCACCGACATTGTAGGCTACTCGCTGAGCGTTGTCGACGCGTGTCGCGGCGCCGGGAGAGTAGTCTCCGGCGACCTGCAGGAAGCTGGAGAGGAACGGACGGTAGACACTGTCGGACATGGCAATGAAGCAGGCTGACGCGCAGGCGACGATGACGTTGCGCGCGCGCATGGTGCGGTAGGGGATAATGGGCTTCGTTGCGTACTTGTAGTCCCAAACGAGGAAGGCGACAAAGGTCAGGACACCGACGATGATGAGCACAATGGACGACGCCTCCTTCCACTTGTCAGTGTCGCGGCGGCCGGCAATTGTGATGGGCAGCAGAGTCATCGAGAGACCGCCAATAAGCAAGAATGCACCGATGAGGTCGAGCTCCGTGGCCAAGTGCTTGGCCTTGCCGACAGGACCGGATGGCGCGCCATGCATTAGGGAGACACGCTCGCCGATGAGGCCCATCCGCTTGGCCCGGCGGCCCATCCAAACCATGATGGCGATCGTGGGCAGAGCTGTGACTGGCAGCACGATAGACCACATGCCATAACCCCAGCGCCATGACGCGTTTAGGAGGATGTGCTCTCCCAGATAAGTTCCGGCGTAGAGCGTCGGGATAGCGGTGATAGACTCGGGCAGCGTGAATAGAATGCCGCGGTTGACAAGACTGGTAACGTCGGCGATGAAGATCTGCTGGGTAATGTTCCACCACGTGTCTCCAAATGAGTCGAAGATTCCTCCAGCCTGTAATGGTCAGCCAGGATTTCCGTCATAATGCGCTATCCGTGCTTACAAGGAATGTGTCAACGTTTTGGCACGCCGCGAACATCATGTTGCCGATGGCCATAGACAGAGCTGCTCCAGCAAACCCTTGTGGTCGTCCAAAATGCTTAGTGCACCAGTTAGGAGGATTCTCGCAACAATCTTGCAGTGTCGTCCATCTTATGTAGAACTTACATCAGCGAGCTTAGCCAACAATGGATATGACACGATGCGTACGATTCCGTTGATAATGGAACCGGTGGTGAGCAGAGAGTGGCCCTCGAAATGACTTGTTGCGTACGGCTCATAAACGTTCTGGGTGTAACTCGTAAAATTCATAAAGAAGTTCATGACGAGAAGACTGTGAAAGCATGAGGAGCCTGGAGGTTGATTTATGCTACAGAGTGCATCTTCTTACCCAGAAATTGCAATACCCAGCTTCTTCGGAGTCCACAGCTTTCGTAAAGCTTCAGCTGCGGTCCTGGGCCGTTCATTCGTCGTCTCGTGTACTGCGCCATCTTCGGCAACAGCAACGTTGGTGGCCGGAGTGTGCGTTTCTGCCATCGTGACTGATATCTCAACGGCTTTCAGGGGTTTGTTTGGCAATCAGAGAGAGAGGTTGAGAGGACCTGCAGGCAGGGCATGTTAAACAGCAGAAGTTACCGGCTTTTAAGTCTCGCTGTACTTCCACCCGACTTCGGTAACCTGACTTATCTGATCCGACCTTCGGTTATTTGGAGTCGGATCTGATTAGATGCTAAGGTTGCTTCGAGTAAGAATCATGCCGATCTTGAGTAACGGACCCTCTCAGGGTCGCTGTCATACTGGGGCTCCCCATATATCGGACCATGTTGGTGCATGACTTGGGTTTCACCCGACAAGGGACCTCAAAGAAAATTCTCATCCATAATGCTGGGGAACATACCGAGCCTGTATACCATGACAGGATTCGATGCATTCTTTGATTCGGGACACTGCCAAGCTGAGCGGCCAGGACACCAGTCAGGAAATGGCGTCGATCGACAATAGATAATGGAGCATTTCAAGTTTTTGGTGGGCATCTCCGCATGCAAGAAACTCCTGATTAACGCCCAAGAATCATCTGAGCAGACTTGGTTTCCCCGTCCTTGCCGACATCACGGCGAATAAGCTTGCCAGGGGCTTGCCGAAAGTGGAAGAAGTCGGGTCACATTTAAGCGACGCCAGCAACACGAGTAATGAATCGTTACAACAGTGGGTACTTGAGCGACCACGACCAGGATGACAGGCAGTCAGGATGCGTGAACACAGCTGCAGTTTTTGTCCCAGGATCGAGCTTGCCATGTGGCAGCTGTATCTAGCAGACGCTGACTTGTCTCATTGCTAATGGACGCTGAGATCGCATACATTGTCTCGTCAGTGAAGATATGCGAAGTAAGAAATATGCTCCCGATGCTCCCCGAAATATCGGATCCCGCCTGCTGTGACGCCCGTCTTGCCCCTGGCAATATGGACTGCGAACAGGGATGGTCCCCACGTACAATAGTGAGAAGAACGTGGAATGATCCGGCTTGGCTGTCTCATACATTCTTACACCTGGTCTCTGCGACGAGTAACTCAAGGAGCTGTGCTCCAAACAAGACGCACTTGATCAAGCCCTCAGATCGACGAGGGGTTTATGGCTCAAAAGCCACAAATTCAACTGCACATGGGTGAACAGGATCAATTGAGGAGACGAGGCAAGCCCTCAAGATATCAAGGCTGGTGGCCTCTTTCGAGCGACCGTCTCGAAGGGGCCTTCCCATTGATGAGCTAACACAAATTGCCATCCCTAAATCTTTCATCGCCACGGTCAAGGCTGCAAGAGAAGTTTCGTCCGTTTAATTAGGAGATTTGAGTATAGATTCAGCGGGAGATCACTATGTGACCCAGCATCAGTGTTTTTGGAATAGCTATAGACTCAGCTTCTCGAGAGCTTGTGACAATTTCTTTTTTAGGTCAGCACTGATGGCCTAGCTCGAAAGCAACATTAAGCTCCGAGAATTGCCCCAGGATGGTTGCGGCGGCGGCAACTTAGTTGTACTGAAGGATGCAGAGGGGGTCCACTGAACAACATTCTGAATAATGGGGATCAAGGGGGACCTCGACAGTCGACTACGAAGAACGTAATTTATAGTTTTCCATGTTAAAAAGAACTTGGTAAATCATTCAGAATCGATTATCAATGTATGACAGCGGTATAGGATGAGCATAAACCTGCGCGCATGGCAAACCTCAAAACCTGTGGATTGTCGTCCCCATCAGTTCCGACCTCGACTTTCGAATGCCCATAGCTGCCCAAACCGACTGCCCTCGAGGGTAACTAAGTCCCGCGGATTGCCCGTCTCGACAACCTCCCCCTTATCAATAACGACCACGTCATCAAAAAAGTCCATGACCATGTCCAGACGATGCGAGACCATAATGATGGTATACTCCTTGAACTCTTCCCTGATGATCCCTTGCATGATGCGATCAGTTTCTCGGTCTACATTCGAGCTCACCTCATCTAAGAGAAGTATGCCACCACGACGTCCTCCCAAGCTCCGGTCCTTCACCCGTCGCCTGAGGATAGCCCTTCCGAGGCTGAAGAGCTGTCTTTGACCCGCACTGAGGCTGTCGATACTCATCCCATTGTGGACGTCGTTGCTCATTTCCGCTAGGAAGGCACTTAGCAATACGGTCTCGAGAACCTCTTGGCATTCAAGATCAGTTGCGGCGTTGAAAGGGTCAAGGTTGTCCTTGATGCTGCTACCACTGGGAAGAAAGACGGCATCCTGTGGCACTGCGATGATCCGACGGCGGAGAGTATCCCGTTCGATGGAGTGGAAGGGAATGTTGTCGACCTTCATGTTCTGAGAACAAAATGGCAAAGGGTCGAGTAGGCGAAGAAGCACGAGAATAAGAGACGACTTTCCGCTGCCGCTTCTGCCACACAAGGCGACCTTTCTGCCGGCCTCGATAGACAGAGTAACGTTCTTTAGGGCAAGGTTGTTCTGCAAAGAAATGTCCTGCTCAACACCACCGGCACTGATATTGTAGGATGCCGAGACATCTGTGAGTTCAATAGTGCCAGCTTGAGGCCACTCCACGGGAGGTTGGGTGTCTTCATTTTCGCGCTTTTCAGACACAACTGTTTCCGAAAAGCTCTTGATTCGCGAGACTGCGCCAATTGAGGTCTCCAGCAAAGTGTAGTTGCGGATGAGCCAGGTGATCACATCACTCAGCGACATCAACGTCACCAGAGATGCACCTGTGAACCCCGAATTGCCCCCTGTCTGCGTGGCCAATGATACGATAATAATAGCAACAATGGCAACAAGGATCTCCATAGTGAGACTGAGCCATCGCTGTATCATGGCGAGAAGGTATGATGGTCGTTGCGAAGTATTCAGCAACTGCTGATTATGCGTCACATGATCGGCCATCCAGCCGAAAGCTCGAAATGTGCTGATTCCCTTGATTGTGTCAAGGTAATGGGTGCTAGATCCGTCAGTTGTCTGCCTTTCGCCATCAGGATTGATGACCTACTAAAGTGGACTCTTTGCTTCTAGGTCGAGCAGCCGAAGCTGTCGCGATGTGCGCAGGTAGAACCTTTGGATCACCCATAGCACAACTGCAAATATGGGATAGCTGATTGCGAGATACGGTGATGCGGTTCCCACAACAGCAGCCATGCCCATGACCTGGAAGATGTCGATGACCGTATTGAGCAATGCCAGCGGAAGCTCGCCATCGATGAGAGTCATGTCCTGGGAGAACAAGTTTGTGACTATGCCCATATCAGTAGTCGTGAAGAAGCTCAATGGCGCATGAACAACTGTGTTGATCGCCTGGTGGTGTAGAGTCGTGCCGGACTGGGTAGTGATCCATACAATGATAGTTACGCAGACTATAAAAGACATGATGGAGTGAGTTGCTTTCAGCATACCGAAGATACCAAGATAAAAGCTGGTAGGCCTGTGGAAAGTGTCTTCGGACCAAAACTTTAGCCATGCGGTCGCCATACTGTTGGCGAAAGCGTGGATGGCAGCCGAAGCGACCAGTACCACCAGGGACCATTTGCTCAGCGAACGCATGTAGTGGCCATAAACCTTCATGTCTCCTGTTTGTCGCGAAAGGTCATCTGATCGACTTCGTTCGGCGTTCTGAACTTGACGTTTTGGTCCCTGAGTAGCGGGAGTTGGGGCGGCAGCACCCCTCTCTTGCGTATCATCTTCACCCGAGGACGCCACAACATTAAGGTTGGCGACATACTTCTTATTGCGGATGAGATCGTTGAACGAACCTTCCTCCACGATTACACCGCCCACGTCGAGGGCTATGATGTGATCTGCTTGAGGAAGATGACGAATGGAGTGCGTGCACAGAATTGCAGTGGCGTTTCGACGGCGGAGAATACCACTAGGGCCGAATACACGACGAAAAACCTCATTGGCGGTATCGTTGTCGAGTCCGCTTAAAATATCGTCAGAGAGGATGAGGTCGGAATGGAGGTAGAGTGCGCGAGCAAGTGAGACACGTTGCTTCTGCCCACCACTCAGCGCTATGCCGTTGCTTCCAATGTTGGTTTCGTCACCCTGAGGGAGAATTGTGAAGTCTGGGAGAAGCATACAGGCCTCTATTACTTCTTCGTACCGAGGCTGGTCGAAGTTGGAATATCCCATGATGTTCTCTTTGATCGTGCCGTTCCATAAGAACGGAGCCTGCTCACAGTACCCAATGGCGGCGTAAGCGAGGGGCAGCCTGATGTTCCCGCGCGAGAAAGGCACCTCGCCTAGAAGCGCGTTGCACAAGGTTGACTTCCCAGCAGCTGTCGGCCCAACGACCAGGGTAAGTTGAGACACAGGGAAGCGAACGTTGACATGATTAAGGATCATCCGGTCTTCGGCCCAGCCGAAGAATCCATCCTGGATGGTAATCGAGGTTGTGGCGTCGGGATTTAATGGCTTTTCGTTGTACTCAAGACCGCTGCTAGATGGTTCATCCGAGAACGACTTCTCTCCGAGCATGTTGTGTGTTTCGTGGCGTCTGACATCTTCCCGTGCATCAGCCTCGAGGAATGCTTGGATGCGACTCAAGCTTGCCAGACCGGCGAACATCATCGGCACAGCCTGGAAGAGTTGAGACAGAGGCGATGTCAATAATATCAAGAACGCGATAGATGTAAACATGCTCGTCGTGTTGAGCTCGCGAGTGGTGAAGGCCAGAGCGGCAACAGGTGACAGGATTGCCGGCGTCATGGCAGCCACAACAGCCCAAATAATGAGCCAACGGGATCTGTTGCCAATCTCCATCTCGTGCACTCTCATCTTCTGGATAAAATCACCAACCGGCAGTGTGATGCCGCTGATCTTCAGGCTCTTCATATTCGAAATGACGTTAGCCGTGAGCCCGACTCTTTTCTGAATCTGGCTCATCCATCTGACCTGTCGGTCTCCTGACAACCTGCCGACAATAAATGTACCGATCGCACAGAACACAATGAGCACAATCGGGGCGACGAATGAGGTGCCAAGCTCCCGCTGTAAGAACCAGCATCCAATTGCAACCTCAATAGGACTGGCCCAAAAGTCGTGAAGCTGATGGAAGCCTTGGATAACGCGGTCCGTATCAGTACTCATCAATGTGACAGCCGCCGCCTCCCCAGCGTTGGCGAGCTTGGCCTCAGTTGTCTTTTTGTAGATCGCGGCCGACAAGCAACCGCGGGCCATTTGCTGAGCCCTCATGTGGAAGTACCATTGTAGCGCTCGAGCGAAAGCCGCGCCACCATAGATCAACACCGCGGCACCGATGAGGCCGTAGCTCGTGCTACGAGGAGCATTTGGTTCCTGCAGATATTCCAGGAGGGCGCGTATGAAAAGCGGTTGACTAAAGCTGAAGCCGATCAAGGCGATTCGGGGTGCGATGGGCATGATGTATGGGATTAACAAGGCTCTGGCGAGCGATCGAGCCAAGCCAAGCTTCTTTCCAGGCCGCGACCTCTCGATCACAGCTTCAAGTTTTCGCTGGAGGAGATCCGAATCAATGTCCTGGTCCAATGGATACAGGTCGTCGATGGCCAGAACATGACTGTAGCCATAACGGAACAGCTTGTTCAGCCAGAGGTATACAGTCAGACTCATCACATCACTCGTCTCTTCGGGGCTGTGTTCATCAATCTTCCAACGGAGCCAACGGGTCTTTCTCTTCGTCTCGGCAATGAGGATGACGAACTTCGTTCCGACGGATGCTGTGTAGAGACGAGCAATCATCTTGGACGTAATGGAGCTCGCCATGAGCCATGAGGTTCGAACCTGGACGGCATCGCAGAGCGTCTGCAGCAGAATGTACAGAATGAGCAGTGTCGATGGGCGCGGGACTCTGGAATGCTCAAAGAAGGACAGGGCAAGCATAGACAGCGCAACAAGGAAGTTGACTGCTGTTGTTGCAATGGCGAAGCCATCGAGACTAGAGGCCGGGGCTGCTGTCTGAAGATTCAGCAACGCGAATTGCAGAGTAGCCAATATTGTAATGGCTGTCTAATGCACCCCCTCTGTCAGCACGATATCCACGGTGGGCAGGTGATCGCACATACCAACTTGGCGTACTGGAAGGCGACACCAGACACAATCCTCGGCTGTTGCGAGAGCCATATCGCGCGCGGAATAGACAGCGCCAGAAAGAAGGTAGCAGGAACTATGGCTAAGATGATGCGCTGGAAGCGAATAGTAAAGTCGAAGTCATCACGGCAGCCTCGAACGATGGGGCCGAAGGTGTCGTCGTTGAGGCATGATGTTACCATGTCGTGCTTGGTAGATTCGAAAAGAACTTTAAGGGTCAAGGTGTGGCGGGAGCAACTGAATCCCATGGAGCGCGCAGTTGATGGACAGGAAGACTGCAAAAGGGGTGTAACATCCAAGGCCCAGGTCAGTTAAAGAACAAATTCCTACTTCATACGCGTCGCCATCCGGGCCGGGCGGCCGGCAATGGGACTCGTCATCGGCAGGACAAATAAACAGGCACGAAAGGCGCTGCCTAGGCTGCACGATTCCTTTCAAGCACAAATGGCCTTAGTACGGGATCTACACACCACTGACGTCCTTTTCAGGGCTTGGGTGTGGTACAACACCTCTCTCGCCAACAGCTCTGTAATGGCGAGCAAACGCCCTCCCTCACCCCCTGCACCAACGATGTCACCTCTAACCAAAAACACTCCCAACTATTCGCGAGTCACCATGATTGGGCGCTTTTCAGTGCGGCCATTGCTTCCATGCACTGAAGGCAGGTCGAGCTTCGGGGAGACGCACATTTGCTGACGGCTTACGCAGCATAATGGTATCATCTTCGCCACAGGAGGCCAAGATCGGCAGTAATCCCCATGCTCAATCCCGCTGGCAGTCGGGAGAAAACAGCAAGGATTGGTTGAGGTGAAGGCAGTCGCTAACCCCAGCGAACATGTTCGGGCGGCTACATATCGCTCGCTTCCTTACCCAGCCCCCTCAAATCCTTGGAGCTTGCCGCTAAACCTACAACATCAAGGGTCTAGGGGCCCTGTGATACGTGTATAACCCTTCTGGAAGCGCACCGCATCCTGTTGACATGTTGGTCCATTTACGTATCACACAACTGGCTGCGCTGTTCACCTCGCGCGGCGACTTCAGACATAGAGGAAACGTGATGTCATTTCCCGAACCGCTTCAGAAGGGTAGTAGCCATGAGGGACTCGGTAGGCTACGTTACATGAGCTTCCATGCGCGGCCGGGTTGCCAGCATTCGCATTCCACGGCCAGATACATGTTTGACCTCAGCTCGGCAGCGCAAAGACTGGACAGGAGGCCACACAAACCTCCCCAAATCTGCTGACGACGTGGGCATCATTACCCAGTCGCCCGTTTAGTCAATCGGCGAAGAATGTTAGCAGGGTCGGAAACTTTCCAGTTCATCCGCTACAGGTGTCTTACATGGACGGTAGAACAGTTGTGGGCGCACCCAGGTCTCACCTCACCCTGGGAATCATCGCACCCTTCTGAATCACATCGTATTACAACTGAACCATCAAGATGATGTCGTGATGCTCTTAAAGGGCCAGTTGGCCACACACGTCGGCTGTGGCAGTTTGATCAGATCCACTCATCTCCAAGTTTCTTGACATGAGGTTCTCCGTCGCTTTTTGGGGGCCTTGCCTCGCTCTTTTGCTGCCTGAGTCGGTCGCCGACGTTGTGGTGCTTCCAGGGGGCCTCCCAAAGTCACACATGGGCCGTAGGGCTGTAAAAAACGCCGACGATTTCTTCCGCCAGAGCATGAGTAACGAGTTCTACAACAACTCGGCTGAAGTCCTCCTCTCCTCCTTCAATCACAACGTCAAAGATAGCGCCTCCCTGTCCATTGGTGATGGAGTACGCCCTTCAGCTGACAGCTTCGTCCGCGGGGCAATCCAGGCGTGGGGCGAGCACCTGCATTTCGTCGTACGCCCCGAGGAAGTGTGGTTCACCATATTGGTCCAAATGAATTTCTACATGATATCTCACGCTGAGGACATCAGGGACTTGTTTGTTGATCATGAAGGGCAGGAGACTATCACAATCGAGGATTTCACCTGGGAGCAAGTCCTCATACGCTTCCAAAACGAGATTCAAGCCCGCGTCAAGACGGATTGGCTACAGAATTGGATTATGCCGGACTTCACCACAACAACCCAGGACGATCTCATGACAGCCAACATACTAATGATGGGGCTGACGAAGGCCTATTTCAGGTTCGAAGGCGGCATCATTTGCGGCCTCCCGTCCGTTACACTACAGGGAGAAAAGTCGGATTGGGAGACTTTGCTCGACAAACTCGAACGGCTCCCGGAATTCGGCGACGAGCCTACCGCATATGCTGAACGCCTCCGGCCCATCCTCAAGCGCTTCCTTAAATCGTTCGACGAGCCAGACAGTTCGGAGACGGTGCAATTCTGGAACGACATCGTGTCTGCCAGATCCGAGTTTTTCTGCGGCGCACCGCCGTTCTACATGTCTGGATGGATCACAGGGTTCTACTATTGGAATGACAGAGGTGAACCCTACGCAAGGAACAGCGCTGAGGGCGACCTCGTTCTTGATGGCGTGCAGTACCCGTCTCTCGACATTGGAACATTGCCCGTGGGGTACGCCAGCGCGCCTTTCGTGATGCTGGACTACAACGGTACAGACAGATTTGAGTCGTACGTGCTGGCCGGAACTTTGGGGAAGAAGATTACGAATGGCCCCCCCACAGGATACGCCAAAGCGATGGAGCGCATCGGGAGCTACAGCAGCGGTGACACAAAGGGTCACAGCACTTTGCAGTCGCTGTCAGCGTGGGTTGTGATTGGACCGAAGAGTCACGATGCCGACAAGAGGCCGCCGTGGCAGGGTGAAGTTGAGCTTGCGGACCTGGTCGGATCCGTCGATAGCAACTTTGAGGCAGATAAGTGTGGTTCGCGAGGGGTTCGGTCGTCGGCACCGATGAGAATCGGGTAAACCCTTGCTACTTTCTTGCCTCAAAGCGCCGCGGGGCTCGGCGACCATGAGCGAAGTCGGCGGACGTGGTGTCGGTGTGCTGCCGACTGTTGGTGTGTTTCTGTTTCGCGTGCTTATCTTGCAGGAAGACGCCATCATGACAGCGTCACATCATCAAACGCCCTTGACTCTTGAGTCAGCATAGACGATATAAATAACTAAGTGACAATTGTTTTGGAAAGTGGCTTCATCTGTTCCCATGGATTGATGACTTTGTACTCCAGGCAAACAATTAGAACTTGAAATTATGACAACCACAACAAGAAGGGTGGCGGTGATTGGGGCCGGCCCGTCTGGTGCCATCACCACCGACGCCTTGGTCAAAGAGCAAGCTTTCGACACCATTCGGGTCTTCGACAGAAGAGGGGCTATTGGTGGGACATGGTGAGTTTTTGGTTGCACCTGTTGTACGACCGTTGTGATGTGCTCACTCGAAGTGCACAGGGTCTACACCCCTCACCTGCCCGCGAAGATCCCATCACTGCAAGATCTCATCACGGGGAATGTTGACCATGCGGTGCCCATACCAACAAAACTTCCGGCAGAGACCTCGAAGACGGAGAGAATCAACAATCATCAAACACGGTTTTCAGACTCGGCGCTTCATGAGCACCTTCACAGCAATATTATTCCCTCTATCATGAGCTTTACTCGGGAGCCTTTCCCGGACAAGTTGTCGGAGCGGACCCTCGCCAAATTTGGACCCAGGGCTCCTTTCAGACACCGTGAGGTAGTGCGAGAGTGGGTTCAGGAAATCTTCGTTCGCAATGGGAACGACAAACTACTGGAGCTTAATACGACGGTTGAGCGGGCAGTCAAAAATGAACAGCAAGAATGGGTACTGACGCTTCGCAGAGAGACGCCGGGAAAAGATTACTGGTGGGAAGAGAGATTCGACGCTCTGATTGTCGCAAGTGGCCACTACAACATCCCCTGGGTTCCAGACATTCCAGGACTGGTCGATTTTGATGTGAAATTCCCTGGGAAAATTCAGCACAGCAAGCATTTCAGGGGTCCAGAAAGCTTTGCAGGAAAGGTACGCAACCTTGTACACGGCCAGGCCTAGTAGAGCTAATGACAGTCCCAGCGAGTGGTCATCGTCGGAGGGTCTATTTCATCCCATGAAGTCCTGCATGAGATTCTTCCTAAAGCAAAAAAACCGGTTTTTGCAGCTTTAAGGGGTGATCCTGTCCCAGCCTTTGGGTGGGCGCCCTTCACACATCCACACATTGTTGTCAAGAACGAGATAACGCGCTTCGATCCAGAAACTGGAACACTGTTCTTCGCAGATGGGTCGTATCTGAATGATGTAGACCACGTCATATTTGGCACTGGATACACTTTCAGCTTGCCATTCTTGCCGGACATTCAGGCAAGAATAAAACAGGCTAATCGCCGGCTGCCTGGGGTCTTCCAACACACATTTAGTATTGGCGACCCGAGCTTAGCATTTGTTGGGATGGTCAGTTAGGCAATGTTGTTTACTTGTCTCAAGCTCAAGGTTCATAACTAACGACTGCCCTCTTCAGCTTGGTGGCGGTTTCACGTTTCGCGTGTACGAGTGGCAAGCAGTTGCCGTGGCAAGACTCCTTGCAGGTCGCGCCCGGCCTCTCCCTTCACGGTCCGACCAGCTTGAGTGGGAACAAAGAAGGGTGGCTGAACTAAAGGGAGGCAAGAACTATTACTCGATCGCTTTAGATTATGAGGGCTTTTTTGAGTATCTGCGGTACATCGCAGGCGACCCTACCCCAGGCACAACAGGCAGGGTACTCCCACCGTTCGACAAAGCATCTCTGGCTATATGGACGGACATGGTGGCAACCAAGATCAAGGGATTCGAAGAAGATGCTCGCAAAGCAGAGTTGGAGATTCGAAGCCAGCAAGAACAAGAGGCTCATCAGCGACTGCAGGAGATTATCGGAAACTGGAGTCCCAGAGCAAAGCTTTAAGTTGAAATTGCTACGAGCCAGTCTTGTAATAAATGACAGTTAATTGAAGATGATTGAAGCCAAGGAAATGTGAGAAGCATTGCGATATGATATCCAGCCGCGGAGAGACAAGAGTGTTATGGGAAGCTTATGTGAGTGAGAATCCAATCTTATCGTGGTCTATACAAACTCATCGAAAGCATTCATTCCGTTTCACTGCCAAGAAGGTTAGGCTCCAGTACTGTACAACATTGCTTTCTGTTGGATTGACGCCTGGGGGCGGTGGCAAGTCACCCAATGCGACAGCATTGAATGTGTCATCGGCATAGCGCCAACTCCACACCTCGGAGCTCAATATCCTGGAGTTTTCTTCGATCACATCCCAGAGTCTGTTGTACGCTGTCGTAATCTTCGAAAGCAGTGTTTTGTCTCCACAAAAGTCAGGCACTGACTTGCTTCTGCACCTGTCAAGTTGCCGTTCTAGACCAGCTGCCATCATAGACAGCTGCCATGACCAGACAACTGTTCCGTGATAAGCTGAGGTAGTGAAGTTTGCTGAGTAGACTGGCTTTCCACCATACGCAGGGTTCGCAACGAGGAGCCCAATGTTGGTGGTCAGTCCTGCAGGGAACGGTTGAAGAATGTGGTCAGCTGTTTGAGACAAGTAGGCGCTGAGTTGTGTCTGATTTGTGGTGTTGAGGAGAAAGTGCCTGAAGCCGTCGTCGGAATTCATGACGCGCACCAAGTCTATGTCGTTATTGCCCTCGAGAGCCAGGCCATAGAACGTAACTGAAGCGTTTATTCCGTCGGCCTGTGAAGGAAAGGAAAACTTATTCGTGTCGACATAGTCGTTGAGCAACGCGCGGGCTTCATCTTGCTCAATAATAACCTCGAAGAAGCGCAGGGTCTCATCTTCCCAGATCTGAGCTGCCGCTGCGGCCTTCTCAGCCCACTCAGGGTGTTCTGGAAAAAATGAAGCTTCGGAAAGAGCAGCAATGGCCCGAAGGCCAGCCGGTGCGATGGCAGTGTTAACATTGTACGGTATGCGACCGCCGCCAAGGCCGTAAGTGCTGTCGCGCCATTCGCCCGTGATTTCGCCCTCTTTGAGATGAATTAGATTTTTCCGTATCTGCCCACCAGGGCCAGCAAAGGCAGCTGTTGCATTCATAATCTTTTCGGCGTTGACCAAAGCTAGATCGTGGTATGTGAGGCCAGCATTATCCGGGTCGATTGTAGCTTCGGTAGACATGAAGGTGGCTACGCGCTCCCGACCATCGGAGTTGTTGATGAAGTAGTCCCTCAAAAGAACAGGGAGGAAGTAGTCCGTGTCGATCATGTGGTAATCATAAGACGGCGCTGTCGAACTGATGTTTCTCTGTAGGTTAAACCATGTTGCAAAGTCACCGATGCCTTCTTCGTGTGCAGCGCTTCCATCTGTCCGATTGATGCGCTCTAGAACAGCACCAATACCGGCTTCGAATGTTCCACCGGCTCCTGTGCTGAGAATCTTCTCCATCAGCAACATGGAAATCATGCTGTCGCGACCGAAGTAAGTGAGAAACCGCCAGCCACCGGCGAGAAGTTTGTTCTTGTAGGACAAGAATGAGAGAGATTCCACTTGACCTGTTGACTCAGAAACTAAATCTTGAGATAGTTCATTCAAAGTCTCCGTTGGGCCAAGTTGTTCAAGTTGGGCATAATTAAAAGATGCATTGAAGACGTAGGTCCCGGCTGAGAACTCAATGGTATTGTTGTTTACCATTACCGAGGCATCACATCCAGAAGGGGCAAATGCCAGTGTAGTCGTCGTTACGTTGTCCAGCCACAAACGCGACAATTTGACGCTAGAATCATCTGACACTGTGATGTTGATGGCGTCCTGGAAGATGGGGTATAACAGGCTAGGCCCTTCGGTGAAGTCTCGTATTGTACGAATACTCCCAAGAATGGCTACAACCAGTGACGCCGACGAATTTAACTGGATGTGCCCTCTCACTCCAACTACAGGTTCTTTTGTATGACCCGAAACCTCGTAAATAGGGTCGAGGCTGTCGCCGGAAGTAGAGGAGTTGACCAGGTTGATAGAAAGTGTTCCGTTCGCGCCATCCAGTGGTTGAAAGAACGATACGACGCCACTATTCCCAGCAGGCCAAGCGATCTAACTCAGGAGTCAGCTTCTCATGCCACAAGAGGTGAAGCGACTTGACAGAAGCTCACTAAAAGTCGTGGTCCGATGAGAGTCAGATTACTGTCCGGAAGGGGACTTGTCACTACGACTTGGGAAGCCGAATTGCAGTCCGAATAAAAATAATTCATGTATGGGGGGTCGTTGAGTTCAAGACGAACTGCCTCTTCATCGCAAACGCCGGCCGATCTACAAGTGCTTCGATGACTATAGCAATCCATCAGCTTTGACGCCGAACGCATGGCAGTGTGTTCTTTGACAACTCACTGTCGCCGTTGAACCCCTGGGGTTTTGGTACAATAGCCCCTAAAAAGCAGAATAGCCCCTGTGACAAGGAGTGAAAACTTCATGTTCGCAGCGGTTGGGCAATATGAACGTACTAGCTTCTGAAGGGAACGTCAAGTTTGCACATTGGCTCGCGTTGATGAATATGGAAACGGTCCAAGAGCAACGTTTTATCTGCCGTATCGACACCGAGGACATTTTGCATGTCGTCATGTTCGCGAAGCCGGCTTCCGATGATTCTCAAGCTAACAAATCACTGCCGAGCAAGTAAAGGACATGTAGCCAATGATGGTCCCTTTTCATGTCGAGAACTTGGAACACTACCCCAGTGATGATGCGCTAAACCTTAGCTTTTGTCTATCCGCCATACATCATGACTGTCCCCGCTCGACCAAGTGATCAACCAGCTTTCATGGTGTGCAGCTAAATCAACATTGAACAAAGAACCGGTGTAGCGCCGGTGGATCATCGCGACCATTCCTTGGGGCACGAGGATGCGGGGAAGTACATGGTAGAAAGGTTCACGCAAAAAGTCCCAACAAGCCAGTGAACTTTGATCAATTGAATAGAGGTCATTGCTTAATCATCACGCTAGATATGTTGAAGATTCGTGTTGTCTCCTATGGATTCTACGGTGGTGGAGTCAGCTTTACAGCGAAATTTCCAACCCAATATTTGAGTCCACGCTGCACCTTTACTCAACTGTGGCGAACCATGAATAGCAATGGCTCAAGGCCGAGAATTTCGCCCTCTGCGATGCCAGGTAAAGTGTTTGGGTGTTGAAGTCGCTGCCTGGCTGATCGACCGTGGATCTGCAGAAATCTCAAAATAGCTATGACATCAGATGACAGGCAGCAACATTTTGTAACGCTGACTCGGCCTCAACCCTGATAAAGACAAGACAGCTCGCCCAGTACACCTTGACGCCCACACCCATAGTATGCTTCACCAACAACCAAGTCAATGATCTCTAGCCTCCCCATCATCAGATTCCTCATCTCTCGTCATGGCGAGCGATCAGTCCATTGCGAGGGGCTGCTTGGACCTCCTATCAGGGATTGAAAAGGCAAAGTTGACAGCAATTGGGCTCAGTCAGAGTATTACAAAAGCAGAAAGGGCGCTTCTTGAAACTGTCAGATGGCTGTCAAGTCTTGCGACAGTGGCCGAAACGATTAGCAAAGAGGCGGCTGCCCAACCTCACAGCACGCTCTTGCCCAGCACCTTGATTACTGGAATCAACTCAGCAATACAGGGATGCCACACCACAGTGATTGACCTGCGGAGCCTGCTTGAAGATTCAGTGATTGATGGAGATGGTGCTATCTGGAATGCAGAAATCACGGCTCAGGTCATCAGGCTGGGTGAACGAGCGCACTCTGAACTTAAGTCTTTAGAAATTGCCTTGGATATTTGCACATTGTCAGTCTTCGCCCACATTCAGTCTGATAGCCCCAAGCACAATCCACTAATATGCAAATTCAGTGCTTCTTCACGCTACTTGCAAACCGATTTACCATCCAGGAGCGATGGTTCAAACCTGTTGACCGTAAAACATTCGATCATCACCCAGGTCGCGAATCTCAAAGGGTTCTCCAAGGAAGAAGGGAAATGTCTCTGGGGTACAGAACCAAAAAGTCAACAACTCCATGACATCGTTTCCTCTAGAGTCGCTGAAGGGCATGCTCCTTCACGTTCCAGAATACCCTCAAGCTTCTCAGAAGTGTCTCAAGAAGGCTCACTTCAAGATTTAACATTGTGAGTTCTGCATGAAACGTCACTCCTACAAGATGGAGTAATATCCTGCCTTTTGACGACTGACCCTCAAATCGAAAGGGCTCACAACAATGAAGAGGAACCGCTTCAGTCAAGACCTTCCAATGACGACGTTGAACAGCATGTCGGATCTCAGAATGATAACAAGCCTTTGCAATCTTTGGCACTGCAAGCGCTACCTATCAAATCGATCCTCCGACCTCCTGAAAGTACAAATTTCAAACCAAAGATCTATTTCCCCCAGTCGACATGGCTTCTGAGCGTCTGCAAAACATTGATAGAGGCATACGATACATCTGACCCAATAGAGAATAGACCTATGTGGACTATCAGAGACGACACTCCATCTATTTCAGGAAGTCAACCTGTTCGTTTCACCGACGCGCCAGTATTCTCTCCCGACTGCAGCCTCATCGGAATTCCAGTAAACAGTGATACTCAAGGAGAAGTCTTAATTGTCCGCTCTCGCGATGGTGTCCTGAGCACAAGAGCATCGCTCCACGCTGGTGACGCCTTGAACCCAGCGATCAGCCACAGCAACGGCACCATTGCCATCGCGAACATTGCATCTGACCAGGAAACTTTTACATTTTACCATATTCAAACCGGGAGAATGGACCTACTCAAACCTTTCCGCACAATTGTTTGTAGAGACAGACATCCCGTGCATGCGCTCCAGATGGCATTTACCCCGGATGACCAACACCTGATCGTCTGGTCAAAATCAATGTCTGAGAAAGACGACTCCAGCACCACTGCAAGTAAAAAGTCCAAGAAATGGCTCAAAGAACCGATTTCGATCCGTGTATTTCAGATAAGCAATGGTGCTTGCGTCCGCTACATGGAACCACCTACATATCAGTCATTCAAGACAGCTCTTACTCCCGACACCATGTTGAGCCGGAGCGTATTTGCATTCCCGCGGCCGGGCCAATGGTTCGTAGCATTCAATGAACAGGGAAGCGACCAGTATCGATTCATGGACGCCAAGACGGGCCAGACAGCTTTCAGGGTTGTACCCAGGCAAGGTGCCAGACAGGTATGGCAGGCTGGCACTAGTCCAATCACAACAGAGCACATGGTCGTCGACAATGAAACGGAGACTTGCGTCTGCTACCAAGAGAGATTGTCCTCCAAGGAAAGAATTATATTGGTTATGCGGCATCGGTTAGCTGAACATCAGATCTGGAGCCCCGTGACTGATTGGGCCACCATCCTCATCAAGGCTTCGATCCCAGACCGAGGAATACTATCTGGCGATGGCAAGCGGCTCTGCATATTTCGACGGGATGAGCGCCGGTTCGATATTTTTTCTTTGGACTCATGATGAAGAGTCCAATGTCAGCTTTGTTCGTCAGCGGCTCGGTTTACTTGCGTCGGTTAAGTTGGTAACGTCGAGGTAGATAGCGATCGTCGGTTTCCCTTGTCTCATTGTGGTGCATTCTTGCGCCATCAAGACTATGCCTCATGGTGCAAGATACCACCAATCCCTGTATCCGCCCAGACATTGGACTGCATCTCTTAGACCAGAATGAATGACGAATCGCGCATGGCTTCACCTAGCTGGTGTGGCATTGACTGTGGAGTTTACCTTCAATACAATGAACCGAGCGTGGGACACGCACATTTTGGCCCGAATAGATGCAGCACACCGACAGCCGACGTTCACGCCCGACTTCCATGTAAGCTCACCGTCCCACAGATTGCGTGCTGCTCTTATCTGACGCTTGTTGTCATTGGATTCGAAAACATCAACCTCGAATAATTAAACAAGGAGCTTGGCGAAGACCATTGAGTGGAATTCGACGGAAAATGTGGCATTCTGCTCTGCGGCTCGAACTGACTGTGTTCCTTAGCGAAAGGACTGAACAGCCTGTTCCTTTGCCACGGAGAAACAGGGTGCCGCGAGATTTGGTACAGAGAGTCCCGTAACGCCCGTAACAATAAAAACAACGCATATACCAACATGCCTGAGGATGCCTGGCCCCGGCTACGATGATATCAAGAACCCCCACGTGGCGGCCCAGCATGGAGAGAAGAGGGGTAGAGGAATGTTACTCCCCGCTGTCTTCCCCAATACACAGTGGGCTTATGCATCCAAAGCCTTCGCATGGACGAGGCAACATGGCGCAAGAGCTGCCATGGTTTTCATCTTCCAGATTCGACTGGCCCGGTTCGTCCAACCCACGAGGCTAGGTGCGGGGCCATTCCTGGTCACTAATTTTGTATCAACCTCAGATCATGGATGCCGAGGACCTTTGTACATGGTGAGATTGGGACTAGGAATCTCGCCATGTGAGTTGCCTCCGAGATCGTTCATCCACTAAGTATTGTTGCAGGAACCTTGCCTCCGGCGAAGGCCCGAGAGAAGTACAAAAGATGATCATTATCACTGTGGTGATTCCTGGAGCATCTTCAAACAGCCAGGACTTCAACGACTTTTTAGTGTCTGTTCATGTATTGAGCGATGGCAAGCTACGAAGAGAAACATGCCTCGGCGATGAGTCGGCCAGAGAAGTCCGTCAACTTGACGGACACTTCGCTCAACAGCTCAGGATCAGACTCTGACCTGGCTGCTACGAGACAGAGAATTCTTGAACAGCAAGAACTTGAGAAGACAGAGCCCCCTGTCCTACCTATCACTACCCTCTTTCGAAGGAACAAACTCAACAAAAACCTTGACCAATTGGCTACTCAACCATCTGTCTATGACGATCCAGATCTAGCAAAGTACTTCCAGCCTACCGCAAAGTACGAGAACCTGCATCGTTTTGATCCTTCAGCACGATGGACCTGGGGTGAAGAACTTGTAAGACTATGAGGCTAGCATTGAACTATTCAGGATTGGTGCTGATTCCCCCCTGTTCGGCAGCCTCTCATTAACAAATTGGATTGGAAAATCACACTTTGGGCATGCGTTGCCTTTTTCTCTCTTGACCTCGACAGAGGGAACCTCAGCCAGGCCAACACAGACAACTTCCTCGAAGATCTAGGACTTGATACTAATGGTATGCCAGATAGCTACTCGATACCTGAATTCGTTATGTTGGGACGTGCTGACTGTGACTAGATTTCAACTTGGGCAACACTGTCTTCAGACTATCCTTTCTTTGTGCTGAATTGCCTTCTCAGCTTATCAGCAAGAAGTTGGGACCTGATCGATGGGTATGTGCTCGCGGGATGGTAGCAGACAGCGACCTAACAGACATAGATTCCAACCATCATGTGCCTGTGGAGCATTGTGGCCGCCTCTCAGTTCTGGCTCAGTGGTCGGTCGAGCTTTCTAGCCTGC